TTTCACTCCTTCATTCAGTTTCTGTCCCTCTCATACCCCCCTCTTTGTTCCTCGCGATACTCTTTGCTCTTCTGTTTTTCACCCTTTCTGCTCATATTAATGTTGTTTGCTTGGATTTGTCTCGACACATCTCACACTCCTTTATTCTTTACACACCAGAGGAGCACCATTTGCCTTTTTTAGCTGCCTACTCGCTTCCATTTTGCTGCCTCACTTTTCTTTATTAGCGCTGTGTCCCTGACAAACACTCATAGACCCTTTTGATTACACCCCCCCCCCCAAACCCTCTCTCTGTTTTTCTTCTCCATTCATTTCTTATTGTATCTCTGTCTTTTGGATAGACCAACGCAATTCTTTGCCTCTTTTATTTTTTTCAAAGGCCTCAACTCAAACTCAACTCTCTGTCTCACTTTATTTCCTCTTCCTCTTTCTCTCTTTGTGCCAGAGTTTTTTTTTTTTTATTACAGATTATTAAGTATTCAGTTTGTAGTCATCCGTGATCCAAACCTCTGAGGCCTCACTGCACATGGTCTCGCTCTGCTGTGCTAACACTAACCACATCCAGGTCTGACCCCCGAATGGAACAGATTGCCAGTTCTGCTTTATGAAGGCAACTCTCGGTTAGTAAAGCAGCTCTGCCATAAAAGCAGCAACACCTGCCCTGGAAAACAGGAAAATACCAAAACAACGAGGCAGAAACTTTGATAGTTAGATTAAAACTAGTTTATAGTGGATTGCTTAACTCTTTGATCTCTGTGTCTTGTAATGTAAAGTTGACAATTCTCAACACTGTCCTCCACCCTCACCTTCTTTGTGAAATAACATTTCTACATCAAGACCTACTTTTCCATGCATTCTTGAAGCTCGCTCAGCCTTTTTATAGACAGCTAAAAGAAATCATCCGTCCATATGAGTCAGTAGTTTTCATACTGGAGCTTTTCACTGCAGCTTTGTGTCTGTATCATTTTAAGATAATCACATCCTCACTGACATTTGAAGTCATATTTCAAGCCGTATGATTGGTATGGAAGAAGTTTCGATTCTGACAACTAGATTTAATCAATACGTTGGGGGGGGGGCATTGCTCAGGTGGTAGGGCAGCTTGGCCGCTGATCTCTGGGTTGGCAGTTTGATCCCAGACTCACAGACCTATGCCGGATCAAATATGTGGATGGTGATCTGCTGTAGCGACCCCTCACCGGAGCAGCCGATAACAACAATAACAACATTTGATGGATACATTAAGAAGCAACATAATTGAAACACAGAATGTTTCTGTATTGTAGTAGCTAGCTTCATTTTCAACACAACTGGCCACATGGAATACCTTCATTAACATTTAAAACCACATCACATGAAGAAACAGTGGTTACCTCATAGCCTTGATGTAGTATACCGGTCAGTGAGTCACATGACTCGCTGTGCTGTGGGGGTATAATCGGCGGATTGCCCCTGTTGGGTATAATTAAGTTTTTCTGACAGGAAAATCTCTCAACACATATAATATCACCACACATAAAGTTTTAGTGTTCAGTGTGAAATGTTGATTAATACCAGAGAAGCCAGATTCTTGGCAGATGTTACCAGTGGCTGATGCAGGGGACAACTTGGCTTTTTTGGCTTCATATAACAAGAAGCAGGTAGATACAGTAGAATTACCACTTGTGTGTAGTAACCTGTATTTAATACTAATACTAGTACATAATCCAAGTCACTGTTTCCTCATGTTCCCCATACTGTCAGTGACTTTAATGAGTTACATTATGATGCACATCTTTGTTTTGGTCTGATCATTTTTTATGTGTTTGACACAGAAGAAGATACTGTAACTGCTGTGAATACGACTGTCTTCATTCTTTCATCTTGTTCCTACAGTTCGCCATATTATGCAGAATCGACTCTATATTCAATCAGTGCAAAAGTGATTGATGTGATTAAAAAAAAACACAAAAGGAAAGTTGTGAGGCAGCAGAACTTCAAACAAGCCTCCCACTCTGTGACCCCAAGTTGGGACTCATTGCAGAGCTTCGGTCTCATGCTTATTATGGGACAGAAACTGTGCTTTATGAGAGTGAGTTGCGAAAATAATTATACCAGCATGTTTTCTGATGAGAGCCGTCAGTGTCTTTCTCCATCAGCAGATTTTGAGCAGAGATAATAGAAGGGGAGACAAGATACACTGAGGTGATACTGTGTAGAAGACACAGGCAGAACTTTATACATGAACATGATTATTAGTTCAGCACCTCAATACCTGTGCAACAATAGTCTGCTTATGTTTGCTCTACCAAAAGTTCAGTGTCGTGTTCATGGACGACCGCATACATTTTGTCTACAGAAAACAGGTCCTTGTCGCAATAAAGAAAGTTAATATCAGAAACAAGGTCACAACACACAGGAAGACTTCGTCCTTCTCTATTCTCAGTTTTACCTGAAAAGGCTTGGGATGAATTTGCTTGAGACAGATGTCACTCAGGAGTTGGCCAAATGCACAGATCACTCTGCTGCTCTGTCTTTGCTCCTGATATTTGAGAATTGTTGTTTTTTTTTTTTAAATGTCTAATTTAATATCTGTATGAATTTGTGTTGTATTTAAGTTGAGAAATGATTCAAGCAGCTGAAGAATCCTGCTTCATTTTATATCTGAAACTGATCTTCAGTTTCGAGAGAGATTTCATTATCACAGTACTTCCCGACAGATAAGTCCAGTATTTGGTAAATAAGGTCTTGTGAGACATAGTTGGATTTGTAAGGCTAGAGTTAAGTAATATTTTACTTTAATTGGCCCATTTTCTCACAAAAGAATTGTCCAATGTGTTGGTGCAACTGTGTCCTGTGTCAAAAGTATCAAAAGTTATTAAGTCACATTCTAATACTAGAGGCACCAGTGACAGCTACTTAGAGCAGAGACGTCTAGTGAAGTCGTTATATTTTACAATTTAACATCTAATAATACCACTGCTGCTTTGTAAGGCTGTGTCAAGTGATGCCACCAATTCTCTGTTGACTTAAAGAGTAAAGTATAAATGTAAAATCTTAAAAATAGACAAGCAAGTTTTGAAAGTCAAATATGTCAGTACTTGGCCAAACTACTGTTATTTTGTACTCTGAATCAGAAAAAGTCCAAGGTAAATTGACCTTTTATCAATTGTAAAAAGTATACTTATTGTACAGATAAAAGTCAGTGGTGAAAAAGTAAGGACCAGAAAGACTCACAAGAGATTTCTGAAGTGCTCTGACGATCTCAACTTCCACTCTGTTGCTACTACACTGAAAAATGAGTTCACTGCCAAGCAGTGGGTGGGAGAGGGAGCAATGGAGAGAGAGAGAGACTAAGGGTAAGACAATGATAGCTCTATATATTAGTAACAATAAAGTGAGTTTCTATTTGTTTGCCCTCGGACCTCCCATATTGATTCCTACTTTCTCTTTCCAGTCGAGCAAATGAAATCATCCATCCAATGAAACACTTGATCATGAAGTCCTCTCCCTCTCCTCTCTACCTTCAGTAGCATAATAATTATTCCATTAATCAGTGCCAGTAAAGGGATATTATGTGTTTTTAAGTCTTGCCATCCTTCCTCTCATATTGATTGCCCCATCTCTTCCCACTCGTCCACACTGTGATTAAATAACTCATCACAATGAATGCGTTGACGGGATAGGGTCCCATCTTAACTCTGTCTTTCTGGATGAAATTGTTTTTCTCATCCACGTTATAGATATCTCACAAAACAGGCTGAAATATCAAAGATACATTTGTCCATCATCTTCCAAACTGTGTGTTTGTCTCTCTGAAGCTGGAATTGTCTCTCCCTGAAGAATATCTAATACATTTTTAATGACTGACTGTATTCAGCTCTTTCTACAGTTCCTTCCTTGACAAAGTTTCTCTTCCTAGTACTTGGGGGGGGGGCATCTTCGTATTTGGACCGGCTGGTGCTCATCTATCATTAATGATGTCTCCCTATGTTTCTTGTGTTCAGATTAGGCTTCATCACATATTTGGCTTCAGTTCTCAGTATGCAGATATCCAGTAGTTCCTAATGAGATGAGAGACGGTGACCTAGCTGAGCTCGTCTCTGTGGGATACTGAAAAAAATGAAATACTTAGACGCAGTGTGGAGGCTGGTGTGTTGTTGCTGTCACTGTGCTGTCGTTCCCATGAGTCCAGGTCAGACTGTGAGAAAGAAGCAGAGTAGTGGGTCAGATAATGATGAGACAAACAAACAACAGACTGTCATGTCGGATGACTAAAGACTGAAACAGGGAAAAACAGTCAAACAAATTACAAAAGGAAAAAGGAAATAGATAACTTGCTGTTATACCTGATAGAGGCAAACATATCAAATAACCAGAATAAAGAGATAACAGTGAAAGAAACACACTAACAAGTCAAATAGCTTTGGTCGATTCAGTTTCCGAATGAAGTGGAGTTTCATTTTATGCAGGTTATTTTTTTTTCATGTCGAGCTGAGTCTTTGCAAATTAAACAGTGATGATGTGTTGATTAAAAGACTGAGTCTGTCTCTGTAATTTCCATTTCTCACTGTGTGATTAGTTTTCAGTAGCAGTCTATTTGTGTGTCTGCTTTATCTTCTCTCGCCTTGTTGTTTGTTGTCTTTACATTCTCTTCTTCCTCTTCACGTTTGTCACCTTCCTCCTCTTCCTCCTCGCTCTTCCTGCACCAACCTTGTGTTCATTTTCCTCTCCTTCTTTTTATTCTGTCGCCTGTCTTACTCCTAATCTTCCTCCTCCTTTTCATCCTTTTTCTCATCATGCCGTCTTCTCCACTATTTTCCCACCCCTATCTTTCCTAGAAGTCACTCTTTCTCCTCCGCCTTCACCACCTCAACATTTTCATGTCCTCCTTCTGTCCAATCTTCATCCCCCCTCTTGTGTTTGTCACCTCCTTCCACCTCACCTGCTCTTTTCTCTTCTTTCATTCCTCCTCTTTACCACCTATCTAATCCACCCCTCCTCCTTCTCCTCCCTTCCAGGTGGGACTTCTTCCTCTGAACCTCGCCGTCTTGCCTCCCTCGGCAGCCTGTTAGATGATCAGCACTGGCATCATGTCACAGTGGAGCGGCGAAGTGTTCACCTCAACCTCACTGTGGACAAACACACTGAGAGGGTTCAGATCCCTGCAGAGTTCAGCCACTGGGACATCGAACAGGTGGGATGAAACACACTGCCCTCAAACAGACACACCTATGTAAACATACATGCATACACATTTATATATTTCATTATGACATTTTGTGTTTCTTTTCATCCCCATACAGCTGAGTGTAGGAGCAGCCAAGAGCCTTGACTCCCAAAAACCAGCTGTCTCCAAGAACTTCCATGGCTGCCTGGAAAACCTGCTGTACAACGGCCTCAACCTGATAGAACGAGCTAAACACAATAACCAGCAAGTTACTCTAATGGTAAGTCCATTAAAGCTTGAACACCCACTTACTGTAAGGGTTAGCTCTGCTAACAACCTCGGGTTTAATGTGACAAGTAGCTAAAAAACAACAGTACCACTTGACTGACTTTGTAACAATAACTTGATATTTGCATCTAATAGTTGTACAAGTTGTATAATGTATCTCAACAGAATTTCTAACCTCTTTCCGTGCAGTGTTTTAGTTTTACAGTATACAGTATTAGTTTTACAGAGTATAGTATTTTACAGTATTTACAGTTTTGGTTTAGTCTTAATAACCTCATTTCCAGCGGCAGTAGGCAGCTGTTTTTAGCAAAAAAGCTCTGATAAACCCATCGTATGCTAACTGTCCAGAACCAAACAACACACAGACAATGCTAGCAGTTAGCTTGTGAGAAGCTAAAGAGCCAGATATTTTTCTCAGGAGCTGGTGGAGACCAAACCAGAGTTGAAATCAGAGAGAATATTGGACTTAAATTATTCATGTTGCAGATACACCATTCATATTGAATGCTGATGATTCTCACTGTTTACTAACACATTATCCCTGACAATTTAATATGTGAGGGCTATGTGTCTGTTTATTTCTTTGGTAGTTATTCTGCACAGTAGTGGGCAAAAATCAATAAAGGCAGCTTGAACTTGAAGTAATACTGTAAGCCTTCTATATTAATATACCACTAGTTATCTTAGATTTTAGGCATTTCATCTATCCACAAAAAATTATAATGGGCAGCCTGATCCAGCCTGGACATTGTACCTAAAGTACCATACTCAAGCAAGTGAGTGAGTGAGACAGGACAGGTAACTCTTGAGAATTTGGCTGCTACACAAATACACACTATATTCACCACAAAATATCTCTGAAGGTCCCTTTACTTTAAATGTAACCCATCCAATTCTTCTTTCTCTCTGCTTACTCTGCAAGCACTTCTGCTACCCATACTGCTGCTGCTGCGCAACATTCTGTATTATAGCATATTGTATTATTTTGTATTACGTATAGTTAAGCGCTTATTTGAACTTTTTTAAGGTGGAAAGCTTGTCATCATCACTTGCCAATATTTCACTTGGTTTCCACTTTGTTTACATGCTTGTTGGGAGTGAAGAGGTCAGAGCCAAAATGACAAAAATCTGCTCTGTACATACTCATCATCTTCAGATACATCACTGTATTGATCAATTAAAAGATAAGCAATCAGCTCAAAATGCAAGATACAAGGAGAAATACTTGCTTAAATAACTTTTTTGGTAGCATATAGAGTTGTTTTTAACTTTTCCAGTGTGATGATGACAGATCACGTAAATCATTTGGAGAAAGCACAAAGCCTTGATGTTCTGCCCCTCAGACTCTCTGGACTCTGGACACCGTGTGAGAGAGAATAAGCGTCAGTGGCTGGAGCTGTGCCACCTAAAATAAAAACTGCAGGCTAGATTTGGCCCTTTACAAAATTATTTTTGGCAAAACACCATGACACACATTCACTGAGGTTCATTCACTGCGAACCGATTCCTTCACATCCATAAATAACTACAGATCACCATCTAGAACGTATGAGGTTGTGTATGTCTACATGCATGTTCACAGAGCACCGCGGGGAAATCATCTGGGTGCTGGTGCTGCTGCTAACAAGCTGCTAGCTGGTTAATGAAGCTAATGAGCGCCTAACGAGGTCAGTGAGTGATGAGGGGGCAGAGGAAAGTAGACGCTGGTTAGACTTACAGTAACGCTTCCTCGTCTTTGTCATTAGGACCTTTGGATGGTTATACAATGACAATAAGTGGAGCGAGCTCAGTGGAGCTCTGGCCTGTTTCTAATAAATGATCTCTCATTACAGCAAAAGAGCAGAGAAGCAAGAACTCTTGGAAAAAATATTCAGAGATTCACATGCATGGCTGCAGGTCTAATAGAGGCTGTTTTACAAGAGTACTGTAGCTCTTAAGGTAGTAGAGTATTAACACAGTTATAGTCCTCTTTATTAGAGAGACCACTTTTGGCCATCTTAAGGGCAGGTTAACAAAAATAGGTAGAGGCTTCACTGATGTTTGTGAGTGAGGGGGATTTTGGGCGTGCATGTGTGTTAGTGAATGCTTTTTGGGCGATTTTATAGCTCACTTTTTACTTTATATTTTGCAGTAGTGCTGTATCCTCCACCATGTACTTTCATATATCACTTTAACAGCTCTACAAAGGGCTTTTAGATGTCATCTGTGTTTCCGGAGCATTATAAAGATAGCAGCCTGATATTCCCAGCAGAGACCTGGGAGTGTAATATATTACTGCTGCAGCTTTAGCAATGAACCGTGTCATTACCACAACTCAAAACAATGAACCGCGTTGGAAATGTCTATATAGTGCTGTTCACATACATATCCACCCTTCCACACATCTGAGCTGGGTGACATTGGGTTTTCTCAGTTTGCGTTCATGGCTTTTATTCTCAAGGAGACTTGCTGATGAGATCACTGCGACATGAGGTCACGCCGACACGCCCTCTGCAACTGATTAATATTCATGTTTCATGTTGTTTTATCTCTCTAATAATCATTTTCCTGTCTCACTTCCTCACTCTCTCTCTCCACTCTGCATCTCTCCGTCTCAGGGCAACGTGACCTTTTCTTGTGCTGAGCCAGTTTCCGTTGCCGTGACGTTTCACGGCCCCCAGAGTTTCCTCCAGTTGCCAGGGGCACCCGCATCAGGGGGTGTGTCCGTGGGCTTTCAGTTTAGGACGTGGAACAAGGCGGGGCTTCTGCTCACCTTTGACCTCCCTCACAAAGGGGGTGTAGTGTGGCTCTACCTGAGTGAGGCCAGACTGAGACTACAGATCCATAAGGATGGCAGGGCACTGCTGGAGCTCAGTGCAGGTCAGTTTAACTAATTATAAAACTGATTCTTAGGCCTTGCTCTCTGGCCCCAATTTCTAAAAGGTAAATACCAACCTTTAAAGCCAGACATCTTACATCTAATTAAGGAGTATCAAACATATACTTTGTGTTATACTTTATATTTGTTTGATTTTACATGGAGCTGTCAAGTCTGGATTACCAGCTGTGCAAAGTGGGCCCCAGACCCCCATTTCTATTTCATATCATTTGGGTCTATTTAATTTGATGAAGGCACTGAGACAGGATAAAAACTCTGACTGATCCTCCATCTTGTGTCACTGGTCTTATAAAAGCACTCTGTCAAAATCTAGTTTAAAAACCTTCAATATTTCAGTTTATATCGAGCTCATGTATTGTGTTATTATGTTGTATCAAATTGCTTCCATTTTTTCTTTGTCAAGTAACTAGCACAGAAAGCCCAGTGCAAGGAAGCATTATTCCATTATCTGAGAACTGTAATGCTGCATCCAACAGTTAGTTTCATCGTTAATACATCTGACAATTATTTTCTTTAAAAATGGATTGATTGTTTGGTTTAAAAAATGTCAGAAAATTGTGAAAACTGCCCATCATTATTCCCTGATGCACAAATAAACATTTTCAAATTGCTTTTATTGTCCAACCAACAGTCAAAAACCCAAAGGTGTTGAGTTTACTCTCATAGACAACTGGGTATAATAGCAAATATTCAGATTTTAGAAGGTGGTACCAGTGATTCTTTGGTATTTTTGCTTAAAAAAATACATTAGCTATTAATTAGTTATCAAGATTGTTGCCAATTACATTTCTGTCATTCAACTGGTTGGTTTCTGTGTTTTTGGGGAAATAATGAAACTGTTATGAACAGTGGGGGTCAGGAGGGGGCTAACAACAAATGTTTGCCCCAGGGCCTCAAAGGAGGTTAAGCCAGCCATTGAAACACACAATGAGCAATGAAGCAGATTGTGCCATTGTTTTTGTAAAAATGCTACATCAATAAACCTTAGGAATCTTTTTGTCACTGTCAATGGTCTTCAGGTACGGCTCTAAGTGACGGTCAGTGGCATTCAGTGGAGATAACCTCTGGACGAGGACGTCTGACCATCGCTGTAGATAAAGAAGAAGGAGGCGTCACTCATGCCAGCCCCTCATTTCCTGTCACCGTAGGCAGTCAACTCTTCTTTGGTGGTAAGAGTGGAAAATATATTATCAATATCAGTTAATATACTGTAGAAGGAGCTGATCAGTAAGCCATTATAGCACACCACACTAAAAAAAAAAAAAAGGTATTTTTCAGATGAGTGCACTGGACATGCCTTGATAATCATTTTAATTAATTTTCACAGGAGAAACACAGCATTAATTTACATTAGTGATGTAAATTAATGCTCAGAAGTATTATTGCCACGCTTAATTATGGTTCTAGCTCATTTTGCAGCAGCTGAGTGATAGTTAAGCTATATTAGGATTTGGGATTTATTTATTCTCGTTTTAGGAATATTTAACTAAAGGATGAATTTAATGCCTCTCATTTATAAATTAAACAATTTATTCCTGCCTTTCATGTCTGGATTTAACTTCATTTCACCCACACTCCCCCTTTTCTTTTGATCCCGATGCCTGCCAGGGCCCAGACTGTCACACTAAATGCAACTGCCGTCTCAATTTTTGTTTTATTTATATATTTATTTGCATTTTGTGAAATATTTTTATGGGCCTAATAGTATAGTCACAGCAGAGAACTGACTCCAAAATGAATCTATTTCTGTTTCACTGTGGTTCAAATGAACTTTGTCATATTTGCCCTTAAAGTTATATATTAATATTTGAAAGTGTCTGACATTTTATATATTGTTCGATACAGTCAGTGTCATCAAGACTCACCTCTACAACTGTGTGTGCGCTGAGCCAAATTTAGCTTCTGGCTCTTTCATGATGAAAGTTATAAGTCTGCTTTATCTTTCTCCTTTCTCTTCCTTCCTCTCCTCTTTCTCTTAATATGTTTTTTCTTTTCACTCTTCTCTCCAGTCTTTTTCTCCATTTTCCATCTGTTTCATTCTTCCGACCAGCTTCCTCACAGCCTTTTTTTTTCTTAATCTCATCTCTTTTGTCCTCTCTCTGCTCAGCAATATTAGAGTCCAGCCATGTTCTTTTACTGCTCAAGGCTTTTTATCATCCTGCTCATACTGTACACACTTATACATTTACACAAATGCACTCACTATCTCCTCTTTCACATTAAATTGACTATGGACTACAAAAGAATTTAATTAAGGCTTGACCTGCTGTATATTTGCATTACTCCAGATACTTTAAAATACGTAATCCAGCACAAATCACTGCTCAGCTCTTCGTGTGGTAGAACATTTTTACCACAGTGCTACTTTATGCTGCTCTTCAGTAAAATCAGAGTAGGTTTTTAAACCCTACAGAACTGTCCACACCATGAGTGCACATTAATTAGTGTGTTTTCAGCCATTACCTAAACTTGTAGTGAATTTTAATCATCGCAGTGGGTTGTATTCCACTTTAGCTGTGATGTATCCGCCATTTGTGTTAATAGTTTCATAATACACCAGCAATTGACTGTGTTTAATCATGTTGAATGGTGCTCGCTGTGTCATCTATGAAATTTTATTTGCCTCGAGAAACGTCTAGGGGAAATTGAGTCCTTTATAAAGCATTGGGTAAAAAGTGAGTTATCACCTTCTTGTACCATGAACTGTTTGTGTACTTCACTTTTAGCTTCTTCTGAGATCCCATTAGTGTTTTTTGATTGGATCAATGCTGTCATGTCACCTTCCTCACTGTTGTTCTGTTCTCTTTTCCCTTTCCTGTCCAGGTTGTCCTACTGAAGACGACAATCAGGAATGTAGAAACCCCTTCGATATCTTCCAGGGCTGCATGCGTCTCCTCACTGTGGACAACCAGCCAGTGGACCTGATCCTGGTGCAGCAAAGACTGCTGGGAAACTACAGCCAGCTGCAGATTGACATGTGTGGCATCATTGACAGGTCAGAACCACCAAAACCCATCTTAGTGGTCGACAATTAAATCATCATTTCACCCTTTCTGCCATTACCGAGACAATGAGACTTCCCGGCAGATACACTTAACATGGTACTCCTTAGATATTTCTAACCACAAAATGTGCCCACTATTCATTAATCCTCAGTTGTTATTGATATTTGGAGCCTGGTGTTAAGGGACTATGGTGTGGGAAACCTTAGAGCATTCAGTCCAGATTTATGTTGTTTTTCTGGTTAAATTATCCTCCCAACAGAGTGGGAGTGACAGTTCAGTGATCATAACTCTCCTGCCAGCAGTGGGTTTTGAACCCACAAGGGTTTTGTGCCCACTGCATTATGAGCGCAACGCCTTAACCACTCAGCCATCCTGCTTTCCGCTTTCCTTAACTTTCAATGGCTAAGATCCAGCAGTGTAATAAAACCATCTGTTCTTTTCAGCCCAACAAGCTGATCAAGGTCGTCAGAACACAACTGTGGGATTGTAAGTGTATTAGTCTGAGTCACCAGATGTAGACTGTGGGTAAAAGCCTGCCATCGACTGTGTATTAGAGGCGATATTCTCCTTCAGTGCTGGCTATGCAAGACTATAAGTGTATGAGCAGCGTGTTAAATTATAATTTAATGTGACAATTTGGCCAATTTTACTATGAAGGTAGCACATGACCTTTAAAAACATCGGTGCTGCACAAGAAGCACAGTTGAGATCATATTATAGTTCAATTTTAAGCCCAGTAACTTAAATACCTAAGAGGCTGAGCTTGAAATGTCAAACATTCAGCCTTAATCACACCATCCAAGCCGTCCTGATCACTGCACGCAAACATACACTACACTTAACTAAGCTGTGTTCAATTCTACCGAGGGTGGGGTTTTAACCCACATGGGCAGAGAACCGTTGGACGTTTAAGCCCCACACCTTAACCTCTCAGCCATCCTGGTTACTCCAGTTGTTCACTTTCAGTACCTACAAGACTCACAGACAACTAGTTACACATGTTTTGTTCTTCAGGCTCTGAGCTTCAGCATGTTCAATTTTAGATAAAATAACGGATCCTACATTAAAGTGCAAAGTCTCTCAAAGCTTTCATTTCAGTAGGTTTACATCAAATATAATAGACTTGTGTAGGAGGTATAGCCCCTTTTACACACAGTGCCCAAAGTTTAGGGGTTCAAAAGGAATAACATATTCTTGATATATGTCCATGTTTGAAATATTAGAACACATGATTAAATTGTAGCACTACAAAGTACAGAGTTCAGTATCTGGAGTCATGCTCTGTCAGTCAGAAGTTTGTTACATTAGTTTTATTCTCTCCAGAGCTGCCTTGATTATTTTGTCACTCAACTTTATATGAGACACAACTTTTGTGGAAGTGAAATGTAATTCTTCTATTTTTTTGGCAGACTAATTTATTTGTGAGGGGAAGTGGTGCGGAGAGTTGGATCCAGGAAAGACACAAACAGACACACACACACAAAGAATCAACAGCATGCACACACACTCACAGTATTTCCATTAAGGAATGGAGAATTATTGTTCAGTGGAGACCTGAGGTGTGAAATAACCACTGACAGCCCTGTTTGTTTTATGATCTCCCTCACATCTGACAAATCAATGTTTCTTCTTATAGTTCTCTCATCTGTTTCTCACTAGAACGCAATGTGTCATTCTCACTTGTGTATCAGTTTGCACCATGCAAAATGGCATTTTTAGTATATTTTGTTGGGGGCTTTTTATGCCTTCTGGATAGCACAGTAGAGAGAGACAGGAAATGGGGAGGCAGAGGGGGGGGTGACATGCAGTAAAGGGCTGTCCGATGCGGGATTCGAACCGGGGCCGACTGCAGCAAGGACTGTAGCCTCTACATATGGGGCGCCTGCTCAACCCACTGCGCCACTCAACGCCCCAATTGTTGCCGTTTTTAAAGCAGAAATCTTCAAATTTATTATTTAATCTAATTTATTTATACTATTCCACTCTGTGTTGATGTGAGGAGTTTTTATTCTGCTTTTATTCCTGCTGGAGCCATTTTATACTGATGCTATGTAGGTTGCTTTGGCATCTACCAAAGGCTTTCAGTTTTCTGTTTGATGGCGTCCTAATGGCCGAGGGTTGGAGGTGCCGACGATGTAGCTGGTGGGTGTTCAGCTGTGGACTGCTGCATGTTGAATGTGATCCCCCATTTCTCTCTCTTTCCTCCCTCATTCCCTGTCATCTCTCTACTGTGCTATCTAGTGCCGACATAATAATTCCCTATCCCCACCCACATCTACACTGAAGTACACCACAGAGAGAGAGAGAAAGAGATACACTGTATGTCCAATAAAAGGTGTGCAGGCATTAAAAGACCACCTACCTTTCAATATTACCTTTCAGTTTTCTTGAGTATAATAATAATGATGATAAACTTTAGTTATATATCACTTACTTACTCACTTAAGGTTACTAAGTGCTTTACAATGCAAATGTAATACGAGCGAGATCTGTAAAACATAATCTAACAAGACTAAGAGTCTACAGCCATGCTAGCAGCTCTGTGAGGCTGCACTTTGTCCATTTGATAATATTTAGCAGGTATTTTTACATAAACCAGAGCATTGACACTTTGGTCTGCGTTGGCACAAGATGAAAAGTCGTCTCGGGGGAAAATGAATGTCTAAACCAAATGTCATAGAAAGCACACATTCATATACATACATATATGAACACAGCTACGCGCACCAGCCACACAGCCTCCTCACAGAGGGAGAATTTGCTCCGGTGGGTTTAATTAAATATCTTTCTGTTTCAACTTTTATCAGATTAGTATTCAGCAGAGTCTACTCACAGGAACAGAACAAGAGAAAAACCACAGCTTTTGCTGCGGTTTCCCTCACTGTTACTCTGTTGATTAAACTGAGGGTCCCTGGGATGTAAAGTTTAAAGGAAACTGGAGTTGTAGACTTAGCTTCCATATGCTTCTCTTTCCTCAGCTGTTAAATCTGTGTTTGTGTGTGTGTCTGCGGGCTTAATAGTAGTATAACCCCATGCAAGGAGTACAATGTAGAAGCAGCCATGCATTTAATAGATTTGACCCATCATTCTTACAGTCAGATCTAATTTACCTCAGGTCTAGTCTGCATTCACATTGTAGTAACTTGGTCAGAAAGTCAACATAATTTCCTGAACAACTTTTTTGCTCTGTGTGGGCAGGCAGAAACCTCTGAAGTAAAACCCTTATTTTCTTTTCCTTGCCTGAAGGCTCATCTAATGAAGAACCCCAGTTTGTTTATCATAGTAGTTTAGTACACTCTAATTGGCCCATAGGAAAGGTGCGATTTACCCAGTCAAAGCTTTCATAGAGATGTAAACATCAACTGCTGTCACTGAGGATATATCAGTAGATTGGCCAAGCTGATTTTGTTTAGATGTACAGACTGTATATCTGATCTAACAGCTGTGTTTTCTATCTCTTACCTGAGTTTCTTTAACATTTGGTGAATACCAGGAGTGGGATTTGAACCCACGAGGACTTATGTCCATTGCATCTTGAGTGCAACGCCTTAACCACTCGGCCATCCTGGTGACATATATTTTACTGCATTGGTCCTTTATTTCACTACTTACAACCCACATCCACATTTTCCTGACAAGCTACCTCTAGCGCTTGTGATCATTATTAACACGAGTACAAGAGATAGCAGGAGTTTGATGTTGTTACACTGCTGTAAAAAGCTTTAGGGGGCAGAGGAAGGGTTGGTGGTTGGGCTTGCAAAGTGTTTCATCTCTAAATACAAAAGACCAGACTTTATGTCTCAAATAATACCAGCAGGCTCGCTCTGTCTTATCAAGAACTTTTAGTTGCAGTGAAGCAGCAACAGCAGCATGAAGCTGTGTTCTTCTGTGCAGGTTTTCACCATCATGTCAACCACACTTGACAAATTGCTGTTTTACTCCCCTTCAGGACGTGTTGTTCATGTAGCCGACATGTTCTTGAATGCAAAACTTTGTATTAATTACAAATATGTGATCTCTTGAATGAATATATGTGGCTTTGTTGTTTGTGCACTTGAAGACAAGAAAAAGTACTGTATGCTCTGAACACTACATTCTGCACAATTGAAGCCAAAGGTTTTTGAACAACCCCTCTTCTGTGGTGATATAATGGTCCAAGCAGAGAACCATATGTGGGGTTTGAACTCACGTGGGTATTTCACTATTGGATGTTAAGTCCAGCAGCTTAACCACTCAGCCATTCTGATTCTTGCATTGTGGTGATTGAGACACGTTTGGTGCATATAAATCTTAGACGAAGGACTAAATTTGAATCCAATTGTTGTTTTAATTACAAAGGAACAACAATGTGAAGATTGAAATATCCTGCTGTTATGTGTCAAACAAGCTAATCAAGTGTGTTGAAATCAAACTGTACAAAGGGGTGTGTAAACAGCATTTTGATTTGATTGGAATCCAAATGCCTCTATTAATCATTGCATTAAAGGCCTGGTAAAAGGTTCACGGTCAAAAATCTGAACACACAAGGTCAATTTGTAAGTGCAAATACACTAAGATGATGATGCACTCTGTTGATGTGCAAAGACATGTAATTATCTTACTTTGTCCACTTAAAAACTGCCTGTGAAAGGAAACACAATACCAGGAGTGGGGATCGAACCCACGAGGGCATTCGCCCATTGGATCTTAAGTCCAACGCCTTAACCTCTCGGCCATCCTGGTGCTGGCTGATGGTTGATTTATACAGTACAATAAATCAATCCATGGTGATTAGAGTGAAAACGTTGCAGATTTATTGGGGTTTAAACCCACAAGAGCTTTGATGTGATGTGATACAGTGATACCTGAAGTGACAATTACTGACCTAAAATGTGGCTCTAAGATATTTCCTACATAAGAACTTGCCTTAAAATTACATTACTGTTAGTATGTTAGTACCTCCATGTGTAGCAAACAGCGCTGTCGTAGCAAACATCAGGATGAAGCTTCTCCTCTGTGATTGTTGCTTCCCTTCAGTCTCTTGCTGTATCACTCTTCCTGTTGTTTACTTCTACAGAGACATGATGCACAGCTTGAGTATATACAAATGTGTTTGCAATGAGTATGTCGATGCTTGTTTGTTTCTATGTACTTATGCAGAGTGTGTTTCATTGCCCTTGTCAGTATAATACACCACTCATTTAGACAGAACTGAATCTGAAGCTCATCAGCAGTCAGTCTGACCAAAGACCATATTACTGCGTATAACATTACTGACACACTGAATTCGATTACATCAACACTCACATTCTTGAAATCCTGCCTATAACTGACTCACACATACACAAGCACTAAATATATAAAATAAAATATCAAGTGAAGTGTTTTATCTGCAAGGCTCCAGCTTACGCTTAGATTAAAGCCGTATAGAGATAAACGGAGGTTAACATCAGCCTGTAGCAGGCTGACAGGCTGCTGACTCAGGGCTTTTATCTAAATAAAAGGGAGGCTGCAGATTCTGTACAGTCATCTGTTTTCTACTCAATATTCCTGCCTGGGTTTGAGCAAACACACACTCACACACTGTCACATACGTTCACTTAAGTAAATACACTGGTTGAAACATACAGTTGTGAACATAAAGACAGATAGAAGTACAACATACACATGCTGCCAAGCTTTGTAAACACAGATGACATAAAAGTGTGTGTGTGCGTATTTGCATGTGTGTGTGTGCATGTGTGCCTGCGTGCGTGCCTGCGTGCATGTGTGTGTGTTTGTGTCAAACCTCCTGGAGGTGCCAGCCGGTCCTGAAGCAGATGGAAAGCAACCAGTGTGGATGAAAACACTGTTACTCATCGTCTCCTGTCGTCTGTCCTCTACCTGTCTTTCTCTCAGCAGAATCAGGTCACATGACGTCTTTCTGTGCATCTTACCAGATACAGAGTAGATCAGAGGCTGAGCTGTGTTGTTTTAAAGTGTCGTTTAAACATGTTTTCTCACTCACCTCAAGTGATCATACTTTTGGTTTTACAACAACATTGTATGAATGAACGTAAATAATGGAGTTACAACAGTCTTTAATGTGGCCGTTACTCAAGATATCACACAGACCTCACCTTAAACAGTTTTTATTGGAACGAATTTATTGGAAGATTTGAAAGCTATTTCACTATCAGACTAATGAACTAAAAGAACATGGAAAATAGGATTACAGACAAGTATGGTATAATACAATACACTGTCACATGCACCCTAACCTAACAATGCACTTAAATTTAGTCTTTGTAGACTGACACACTGTACTACATATAGTGTACAGAGAGTAAACAGAGTGGTAAGTGACATCTAATATGACCCACCTTTGTAGCAGTCTTTTTTAATTAAGGGTTTATATAAATGTTCCTGCTCCCTACAGCTGAAAAGTTGCAGCTAAAACAAGAAGAAGAAACAGCTGAACGGAGCATGAGTCCAGACCACAGTTTCCTGCCCTTCATTATCTTTCTGCAGAATGTTTTGTTGTTGTTTTCCAAGCTTCAGGAACTGCTACCTCTGTCCGCATTCATGTCCCTTACCCTTAACGTGTTGTTTTCCAGTTGTTTCCTGCAGTTACCTAAAGTCTAAAGCTGCACAGGTCTCATTCTTTCTGGCCTTTATTGAGCTTTTTATTGTGGAAAAATGTATTAATGTAAATAGTTTGTATGCAGTTGGCATATTCTTCCACTGCTGACTGCAAAGGTGTCAAGGTTTTCTACCTTCCTTGCACACATGCTTTAATTCTAATAATAAACTGCTTTGTTTTAATTGAAAGGAAAAAATTACCTGATCATTGACTTCCATGAATTACCTAAAGTGGTCCTCAGGGGATTGAAGTCACAGTCACACCATGTGTCTGACAGCTCACTGAAAAATGTGTGTGCACGCCGGAACAGATAAATGGATGTTCGTACACACACACTCACTCACTGTTGAGGCTGGTAATAATGTTTCATGTGTTTTCATAAGCCCTACCTCCCTCTCTCCGTTCCCTCCGTCCCTCTCCCTCCCTCCTACACAGGACTGATGTCGTGATGGCTACAGCAGTATGATATTTATCTATAAATAACACACAGGGCCTCAGTGAAGTCTCCTGGGAGCTGGATTCATTTAAAGAACTTCTTCAAACAATCTGCTGCTGAGAAGAAGTGAAAAGATACTCTCTATTCAGAGTAAAACTTTTCCTTTTATGTAAAATGAAAGAAAATGAAATGTGTAAAGTAATGAAGTTATTCTTTTCATCTCTCTGAGGAAGGGTGAAAGGTGTTTCAAATGAATATTCTTCAGATGTCATCTTTCGATTTAACATTAGAAAATGTGTTTTTATTATTCCAGAGCAACAACCTCTCACAGCTTCACCTAAATACAGAAACCAATATTTAAAATGAAAGATGTTCTATTTGAGATCCTGCTCTGCTATTTAGCAGTATATTTAACCATCAAATAAATAACCTTGAAGAGCTTTGGCTAAAAGGTTTTTTTCTTCCTTAAAATGGAAAGCTGCATTTCATAAGAGGGCTGTTAAATTTAATGAAGTAGTTTTCTCTCTCTGAAAGGAAGTGGGAGTTTGAAAACATGTTTCCACTCAGTCATCTGTATTTTTGTAAAGATGAAGCAGTTTTGGCTGATGATGGTTAGAAAGAGATCTGTAACCCCAAAGTCAAAGGGCATTCGGTGCTATTGAATGCTCACTAACACTTTCATTATAACCACACTAAGGCAAACATAATGCCAGAGACATGTTAATGCTTTAACAGAGTTATTACCTTAAAAGAGTACTCTACCCATTCAGCATCAGTCTCCCATCTCATTATCTGACACACGAGTGACAGAAGAAAAAAAAAGGATCAAAATCGATGCAGCAGATCTATCTGATTTCACACAGCTCCCTGCGGCCCCACAAAAGCTTTTATACAACTTTTTCTATATGCAGTAGTACTTTCCAACACCTGGAGTTCCCCTTTAAAGTTGTAATTGGAGTAAGGACACTGTATATGATCTGGACTGGACTCTTCATTAATCTGCAGGTGGAGTGTGTGGCATAGTTTGGTTTCTGTCAGTGGTTTTTATCCTGTGGACTCATGTAGAAAAATCAGGTGGTGGAGAAAAAAAAAAACTTATGATCTGGAGCAACAGCAGAGCAAAGGTTGAAACGCTTTGTAAACTGATATATGAAAGTTTGTTGGCAGCACGTCAAGGATAATTGTTTTCAAAATTTCAAACTGCCATGAAAAGCACGTCTCTCACTCTCTCTCTCTCTCTCTCTCTCTCTCTCTCTCTCAGGTGTTCTCCCAGTCGTTGTGAACATGGCGGCCTCTGCAGTCAGTCCTGGACCGTCTTCCACTGTAACTGCTCTGACAGCGGCTACAGCGGAGCCACCTGCCACAGCTGTAAGTCACCTGTCAGACAAACATGGCCACATGACCGCCAAGACAGATAGATTGGCAGGGAGGTGAGATGGGACAGATGAAATACAAATGAGGAGGGAGGCTGGGTGTCAACCAGAATAATGAATGGGGATATTTCCTCCTGCATCATTTAAACCCAGAGGCAGTATGCAAACAGAAAAATCTGATAAAATTAGATTAAATAAAATCTCTTTTGCTACAGCGTCGTTAAAACCCATTAAGACGTTACACCCATTAAACAATGAATGATAAAAAAAACAAAACAAAAAATTATGAAATTCAAGTTTATCTGTGTGGCATATTTCAAACACCAGCTCAAACATCAAACAGGAATCACAGAAAACATTACACAGTATAATTATTAATGTTTAGGGTCCAACATTTTGTTTTTACAGTCTTGAAAAGTTGTGATTTTTTGAATTGGAGCCACATTTCTTAAAAGAAAACTCAAAGGTTTCCAAAGTAATCCTGTGATAGTTGTCTTTCCCTTGCAAAAGAAGCTGCTAATAGCAAAATTACCAAACTTTTAATGGTACTGATTTGCCAGAGTGTAAACAAATAAAGGTTTAGTCTCTGACATGGGCATCTCAGGCAAAGCATTTTCTTGGTTTGAATCCTATCTCACTAGGCGCTCCTTCAGTGTCATAGCAAGGACAAACATCCTTGTTCTCACCACAGTCTCTGCACCGATCTGCAAGAATCCCTTGAACACTCATCTCTTCCAGGAGCATGTTATGCCCCATACGTTTACATCCCCCAAAGCCCTGAAATTATAGGAATTATAGTTGCAAAACTTAGAGCATAATTAAGGATAATAATAATAAACTTTATTATATAGCACTTTTCATACACAGGATGCAGCTCAAAGTGCTTTGACAAATATAAAAGAGAAAGGGAATTAAAACAGGGAAATCATTGAAAAACTGAAAACATTTAAGATAAAAACATTAATAAGAAAAAAAAAAAAACTCAAAGAGCTTATGAAAAGCAAAATTTAACAGGTATGTTTTCAGTCATCAGTTAAAAACATCCACTAAGTCACTAACATTCTTAGTAGGGTTTAGTTGCATAGTGGGTGAAGGGGCCCCTATTTTGGGGGACATTTGGAACATTCAGAAATAGAATGAAGATGAAGAATTATAATCGGAGTGATAAAATCTTTTTTTTCATGTTTCACTATGAGAATTCTTTGACATTACGAATGCTTACTAAGGCTCATCCACTTATATTTCTGGCTCACTGACATTCTCTCCTGTTCATTCATATACAGATGGTAGTGGAGGCTGGTGGGAGACTAACATGTTCTCCCTTGTCTTTAGGACTACTATGTTCTTATAAGTGATAGAGATGGCAGCAAAAACTATAAAAACAACATCCAGGCTGTGATAAACTGGAACCACCCTTTAAATACACCTGCCCCCATGAGTCATTTTTATTATTTGCACGTCCTTTATCTCTGATGCAGGAGGTTACAGTATTATTAAATCTGTTTGTATGTGAGTGATATGATGGAGGTTAATGAGTCTCTAGCTGTGACTAAACTGCCAAATGCTGAATAAATAAATGGAACCATGGCAGTGAAGTGAGATAATGGGCGAGATTTACTGGTTCTGTGCCGATTCCCTTTGAGCCAAACACCTCAAGACCAAAAGTGGAGAGTTTCCCACACACCTCACCTCTGCTCTCATTTTTTATTGCTGACGTTTCTGTGAAAACCTTTTTCTAAATACACTGAGGCAATGTGATGAATAAAAGGCCTTTGGCTGTGGAGAAGAAGCGAGATAAACAGGTGAGCAGAGTGTGGGAACCTTTAGATATGGATTTGACTTGAAGGGCTCGATTATGTGGCTGCAGAGGAAGAACAGGTGTGTGTGTGTGACTGGAGGAGGAGGAAGAGGAAGACTTGTGGAGATAGAGAGGAAGAGGCGGAGCTGATAAAGGTTTTATTTATTGAGTCATTGACTTCCCATCAGTCATTACTGTCCTCTCCAGCTGGACTGATCTTGACTTCATGGGACGCTGCCGCAGAAATAAAACGCTTCATGCTGGTTATGATTCAGTGGTGATACATACGTATGAAGAAGCACCCATAATCCTCCACGGGGTGTGATCTCCATCCCCTCACAGCTCCTGTGTGCCAGCAGATGTGCTGATGTTGATGTGATTCATGTTGAAGCTGATCGCATTATTTTCCTCCCAGCTGTGTATGAACAGTCCTGTGAGGCGTACAAACACAACGGCAACTCCTCGGGACATTTTTACATCGACGTGGACGGCAGCGGACCAATCAAACCACAGCTGGTCTACTGCAACATGACAGGTGACTCACACACACACACACACACACACACATTCACTCCCCTTCATCCTCCCATCATCACTCTACTTTTGCCTGATTAACGTTTACATAATTGCAAATGATGATGCTCTTTCCAATTTTTTTCTTTCCTTCTCCACCTCAGTCGCTCCCTCCTCCCACGTCCTTCTGTGTCTCAATCCTTCATGTCATTTGTATAATCACATAAATGTGAATTATGACACTCTTTCTCTTTCTCTTTCCCACTGCTTCATATAATTTGTATACCTATTTATCTATATATTAATCTAATATTCTCTTTTTTTCCCCTGGATTCTATTTTCCAGTCTGTTTAAAGTCCATGCTCGAGTTCAAATATGCCTTTAATTGTATGAATAGGTAGCAGGTCTCATTTCAGTTGCCAATCTTAAATGTACAATACATTCATCTTCTGTAAATAAAGATGACAACAACATCATACAGCAAAAACGTTATGTTGATCAAAACCTTTCAAAACTTTAAAGGCTGTTTTCATTCACTTCACAGACTACACAGGCCATATATTGATATTTTCAGAGTTCAACTACACAGAAATGTCATCCATTGGCATGCATGTGGTACTATGTATATTCCACGAAAAATCAGATAGTAATTGATATAAACTGGGTCTGTTTATTCCCTCCAGAGGAGAACACATGGATGGTGATGCAGCACAACAACACAGAGCTGACCAGAGTCCGACCCTCTCCAGGTGTGAGCCAGCATATAGTTCATTTTGACTACTCGTCTCAAGAGGAACAGCTGTTGGCCATTACCAGCCAATCACAGCACTGCGAACAGGAGCTGTCCTACCACTGCAGGAAGTCCCGCCTCCTCAACACCCCAGGTGAGGCCTGTTTGTTGTATATGTATTTAAGTATAATTAGGGGATTTCTTGTTAAAACTAATACCGTCAGTCATGATACAGCTCACCTGACACAACCAAGAACTTATTGTATTTCTTATTAGATTAATGTGGCTGTTAATCAGTATGAGGGAATCAAACTTGCAACTTCAAGTTGTGTTTTTTAATGTGAAGTGTGTTGGTCATTGGCTGGCTTCACATGTGAGCCCTTATATGCTCTCTGCTCCACTGCCGGGCAGCAGGGCCAAAAGAGATAAACACAGCCAGTGAATGAGTTTCTAATTTCACACTGTGCCATTTTTATTATATTTTGATTAATTTTGTCAGTCATTATCTCAGAAACATGTACAGAATATAGAGCATTCTGAAGTCAACTTCTTATAAGTTTATCACTGAAGAACTTAAATCATCCGCTTTAACTGAGCCAAAGTGAGATTTTTTTTTTTGATTCTGTGTTTGTGATTATTCTTAAATAATTCAAAATCACATCTCACTTTTTAGAAATCTTTTCTAAACCTAATCCTTTTAATCTTCTAATCTTATATAATCTTATCTCGAGGCGAGCACTCCAGAACTCTATTTCCTCCCTTTTCCTTCAGCACCCCTCAAGTGCCCGCTTGAACAAGAAAAGACTGTAAACAAGGACTTGTTCTTAATTGACTTGTTGGGTTAAGTGAAAGTTAATGAAAGCTTGGTTAAGCAGGCTCTCTTCAGATGGAGATCTCCAACTGTTTTTCTCACTCTCCGCCAGAAAGAATAAAATCATTACATTCATTACTTCAAACTTTCACAAATGATTCAGACAAATTGATTGCTCAGGATTTGTTTAATACCTCCTCATTTTGGACTGACTGTTGAGTTAGATTAATGTTTCCTTCATTTGGTCATGTGTTTTCTTATTGACTCAAAGATGGTGAGTGTTGGAAAAAGAATGAGAATTAGTCTTGGTAGCTGTAAATTTAGTGTGCACTTTCAAATTCTATATACAAGAGCAACAGTGCATCATATTGTGTGTTATAAAACCCGATTTTTAACAGTTATGTGTATTTGGTTAGCATATAGTTCTAATGGACACAATGCAATATCATCTAAGCACACACACAAACACACTGTCTTGTTTACCAAATGATCATTGTGACAAATGATAACAATAGATGCTACTCCGGACACCTGGACCATGTCAATCCAACCAGCAGATGTTTTAATCTGGACCATAGTGGTGGACCAGTTGACACTGCCATCCATGGAGTCATACCACTATCATGGCTAAAATGAATGAACCACAACCTGGATAATCAAATAAACATTTTAAACCATGTATCACACTTTATTTTGATTGCCAGTTACCCAGTGGACATCCAGACATCTATTGATAGCAAGGACACACCTTCAAAGTTTCTAACTCCTGTGGAACTACAACTGTTATATAAGAGAGAAATGTGAGTGTTGAAGCAACTTTCTCGGGGGTGGCTAATAAAATGATGGATGAAAATAGTGAAAGTGGTAGAAAAGGAAGAATGGGTAGAGAAATTGAGGTTCCATTATAAACCCCCTGCTGCTGTCCAGGAAAATAAAGAAGCGCTGACTCAACAGAGACCTTTCCAATCACCTTCTCTCCATCCTCTCCACCTACACACTCTCAGAATGTGAAATACATTTTTCAATATATACTATCATCGCCTTCCACCCAAAATAATATATTAAGTGTTAGGGGTAGGAGCTGGCAAACATCCCTCAGCTTCAAACACTGAATTCATCTTCGGAGGTTGAGAGGTGGGGACTCTTTCCATACAGCGCAAAGCTATTTTCTCATCTTGGACACAATATTGCATGCAGTATTTCCAAAGACAGCTGTGTTACAACCTTTAAGTATTGTGAGCATCTTAGTTGACTATGGACAGGTGCAAGAGGCTGCAGTGAGTGGCGGTCTCGCAAAGAATGGACCATTAAAAATTATCCGCATCCTTTAGATAACCTTATGTTGCCTTGGTTTACCTTTTTTTATTAAAACCTCATATCGTTTTCAGTTAAGCTGCAGTGTGCACTTATTTAAAAACACAGATCAAACAACCTCAAAGGTGCAGGTGGAGGTCTCATGACAGAACATAATGTATGACAGTGACATATGAGCTCCAGTCTGTGAGGTTACAAGCTCAAGTAGAACAAGAGGTTTCCGGAGATAAAACGAGAATATTGTTAGACATGTTCAGGGAAGTGACGGGTGTGTTTTCTCGTGTGTGTGTGTGTGTGTGTGTGTGTGTGTGTGTGTGTGTGTGTGTGTGTGTGTGTGTGTGTGTGTGCTACTGCAACTGTGACGCTGACCGCATGGAGTGGTACTGGCCTTTATAAATGTCCAAGCATTAATGCTAGTTTGATGAACTTCTGTTTACTTAAACAGAGTGGAAAACCCTCTTTACCTTACAGTGTAATCCAGTCGAACAGTCCTGCTATCAGTCCAATGTTTATGAAACTTTTTGATAACTATGTGAGAGAGATGTTGCTTCTACTTAATTTTTTGCATGTAGTTACTGGTTTTGCTGTATTGAACTGCATTACTTAGAGCAGGGGTGGCCACCAGCCAGTCTGCAGGTTTTTATTTATCACCTCACGATTCGTGATTTCACTGATGAGGTCCCCCTCTGCTAATCAGTGGGTGGAGTGTTTGTTTGGATTTGGTTGATTTAAATAATTATGCAGCATCAGCAGAGGTATGTCTTCTCTTTTATGCTTTGCTTTTATTTCTTGAATTTAGCTGCAGTGTATAAATTAATAAATAAAGTTTAATGCTTATAATGATACTTTTGGGGCAGTTGGTCTTATCAGGGGATATTACAGTTAAACTCAGTGTGCTTTATATTAGATTACACACAGAAACAAGTGCAGATTAATACAGTAAAAAATAAAATACAAGAAAGTGTAATTACAACAAAATAAAAAGTACAATAAACAGAGGTACATAAAGAGAAGGGAAAAACAAATATTACTCCTGAAACTTAAGAACAACCAAAAGTGTACAAAATAATTCAGAAAATATGTTGAACTGATCAGATTTATTTTACAAATTGATCAGATATTGCTGCTTTATTTTTCTTGTGTAAATCCATTCAGATTATTACCAAAGGAAGATATTTGTTCAGGAAAAACACTTCCTGACCAATCCTCTTATCTTCATCACACCGTGCTTCCCTCTTTCTACCTTTCTACCTCTTTTCATCTAATAGTCCAAACTGTCAAACAGTTCAGTGCTGACAATGTTTTTACAGACCAATCATCAGATTCTCACAGTGCTGAAAGAACACACCACTCACGTCTGGAGACATATCAGTGCATAAGTGCATAAAGCTGAATATGGGTGTAAATGGACGAAGCTGCTCACTCGGCTGTCTGTGTGGACGGCACTTTTGGAAATTGCTGTCACAGAAATTGACTGAGATGAGAGTGTTGAGTGTCAGGATCGACACAGATACACTGACTCACCATTAAAATGTCTTCCTGGGAAAGTGTCACATCATCCTCTCTTTCTTCTCCTCCTTCTCCTCCATCCCTTCTTCATTTCTTTTCCTTCTCCTCTTCCCTCATGATCTACCCTCTTCCCGTGTCTTCCTCCTCTGCCCTTCCCCTTATTCCTCTTCTCCTACTCCCTTATTTCCTTCCCTCTCTGCCTTTCTCCTCCACTTTCTTTACCCCTTTTTCTTCTTTCACTTCCTTTACCTTTTGCTTTTTCTCTTCATCTTCCTTAAACCCTCTTCCCCTCTTCCCCTTGTTCTCCTTCTTCGTCTTTTATCTCCTCGTCCTCCTCCTCCTGCTGCAGGGCTGAAGACTCAGGCCTGCTAACCCATAAGGAGAGCCTCCCTGTCAGGTCTCTGGTGCTGGGTGACATCCAGAGGCCGGGGTCAGAGGCTGCCTACAAAGTGGGACCTTTTCGTTGTCATGGAGACAGTAAGTCCAGCTCTGGTTGCCTGGTTACACTTAATGGAGGCATGACAGAAATCTTTCTATCAAGGAAAACACTGTCACCTGTTCTGCTTCTTTCTTCCGTTTTGTCCAAATGACTAAACTGACATTTTTATTTGAATAGGTAAATTCATATCAGCTATCAAGCAACATATTTCTAGGAGAATAATGCTCTCAGGCCTGTTGTTGATATGGAAATGCAGGATTATATGTTACATATTTTATTCCACCTGCCAATTATGTGATAAATGAATCCCTCTGGATAATATACCTCCACATCTAGAAGCTTATTATCACAAGCAGAACTGTTGCTAATGCATATTTCCTTTTAAGTTTACACACTCTAATACTTGCTTCTCATTAAATGCATTACAAGGTAAATCAAAGTAGCATGCTGCTTTTCCTTCTTTCAATTAATTGTAATTACAGCCAATATTATTTACTCAAGTATATAGATAAATAAATATTTGTCATAATTAATCAAACCAGACCGTGTAGCAGAAATCATACCCTTGTGTGAGCTCATTAGCTGAACATGTTGGCTCATTTGTTTCCTGCCTGATTTCCATTTAAAGGTCCTGACTGTGAGTTTTCATTGTGTTTTTCAGAGAACTTCTGGAACGCTGCGTTTTTCGACAAGGAGACGTCGTACCTCCACTTTCCCACCTTCCACGGGGAGCTGAGCGCGGACATCTCCTTCCTGTTCAAAACCACGGCCTCCTCTGGTGTGTTCCTGGAAAACCTGGGCATCAAAGACTTCATCCGCATCGAACTGAGCTGTGAGTAGGAGCTCCAGGGTAAAGAATTAATCCGGATTAGAGCGATGTGTCAGTGGAACCTGGAAGTCAAAGTCTTAATCTTGAATCAAAGAATTAATCTGTATCAAACTAACCTGGGGGGAGAATATTTAGGTTTAATTTAGGTTGGAACTGAACTCAGCTGTCTTGACCTTCCTGTCCCCCATTTATAGCTGCACATAGTTAAATTGAACAGTCTCTAACTGGATCCTAATCACCTGACACCGGAACATTACAGCCATATTTAATTGCTCAACATCTGATTGAGAGCAATGGTCCCTCAGGGCTGTTAAGATTCCTCTTCTTTGGAACTGGAGCCTCACCTGAACCGTAAATGATAAAATTAAAGATAGCCCCAGAAGTAGTGTCCACACATTTTTGGCTATATAGTATATGTAAAACAGATGTTTAATTTCAGCTTCGTAAGGAAATCTCAACTTGAAACCTACTTTAATTTGAGAATGTGTTGCTCTTTACACACTTCAGGTCTATAAAAGAATAATTCATCATTCTGAGAAATATGTATATTTGCGTTATTTCCAAGACTGATATGAGAAGATTGATATCAATCCCATCTCTGTGTGCCAAGTATGACATTTCAGTTTAAATACTGTATATACTGTATAAATAGACAGAATCAGTGAGTTTGACTATGTCCAAAGTGAGAAAATATGTCGAGCAGCCATGTCATATATTTAACTTAAACAGAGAAAGAAATGTGAAAATTACACTTTGTGATTTTAGGGCGAGTTACATGCTGCAAAAGTCAATTTGAAATGTCTGCACTGCCGAGTCTATTTTTGCTTTGTTGCAATGATGGTTTAGTTTCTGAGAACAAACATCCACTTTCCTTCACTTCAGGTTTCTGTTTTCATTACTTGAACAATATTTTCAGCTGTATTCTGCTTAACTTCCTAGCTATCGCCTACGCTGTGGGGCCACTGTGTGTGTCATTTGGAATATGACAGCAATAACCAAGAGAGTGTTAATTTACTTTATGGGTACCTCAACATTGGTGCTGGGTCGGTGTTGTACATTTACAGCCCCCTTTACTGTGGTGTCGTTTTAAAATAGGACGTAAATAACCCCAAGGGTGTTCTTTACTATGCCTATGGTTATGACAGTAATGCAGCAAGGTATGAGGTTCAGCTTTACGAGTGGACGTGATGTGGTGTTTAGAAAGTCTTGTATAGATGCCTTGAATCAGTTATTACAGGCAGTTGCTGTTTGAAGCTCGATCAGCCTGTTTCAGTTTAGTCTAAGTTCAGTTTGATGTTTTTGTGCTGCATTTTGTATTTCCTTATAGATGGGATTTCAAGGGACACGCACAGAATCTAATACAGGGACACTGCTGCACCAACAGCCTCTGTCCTCAGGGAAATCATTGTCAGCGTGGTGTTCAAGCTCTGAATACTGCTGCTCTGTTGGCAGCTGCCTCACATCGCTCGGTAACACTGCAGCTGGGCCCGAGAACAGCCTCTAAATGAAGTTACCAGAGGAAGCTGGGATATTGTTTCATCTTCTTCTGTACTCCCAGAGTAATACATCTTCTGCTTCCAAAACATGAAGGATGAGGGTTTGTTTCAGAAACACAGATAATTTCCAAGATCCTCTCCTTTTGTTGGAATGAACAAAAGAAGGATTTTGAGAACAGAACAGTCCTTTCCAAAGGTGTAAGTCTTTGAAGTGTGGGTAGGACTGTTCAGCTCCTGCTCAGTATTATCACAATGTCCCATCATGGCTCAGCGATACGATGTTGTATACGTATATGTATTATACCATCGTGGGCCATTATGTTGATCCCTGAGCTTAACTGCTCACTGCATTGTGTCTTGGTTTGTCATGTATTATCCAAAACATTTGCCAACTGGTTATCCATGAACAGTTTCTCAGTTGATTTTCTACAAAATATATAGTTGTTATATGACTATGTAAAATTAGATTTACTGAGATATATAATGTTTTCCACTGCTCCAACTATAAGCAACCAAATACAAAATACAAAACTAAATTTGATGCTGGACTAACTTGTGCAGTAGCTGAGACATCTTTTCATCAAACACACATGCAAATACATCTCTCTTCAAGGGCTTCGTCAGAGCAGCATTTTTTGCTAGTTGCTAGTTATTAAGACAATGATATCTTATATATTCACTGTCCTTTTCAAGAGTGAAGTTGGGAAGAAGTTTCTTAAGCAAGTATGAAGCTTTTTTTAAATTTTAAGTTTTTAAATTTTCTTCTCCTAGAAAGAAAAAACCTCTGTAAAGACAGAGGTCAGTTCTACTGGATAATTCAATGATAACATTAGGAAATAATCTTGATTATTCTGCTTATAGTTGTGTGTCTCTATAGGACCTCACAGAACATTTCTTCTTCAAACGTTTTTTCACTTCATGTGCTCTTTGTTTCCCGTCTTTGTCTCCATTGTTTGCAGAAAACATAACCTCATCCTCTGACTCCACCTTCCTGTCTCGTCTGTTTTTTTTTCAGCCTCCACTCTAGTGCTCTTCTCTTTCGATGTGGGTAATGGCCCGCTGGAGGTTCGCGTGGAGTCGAGCGTCCCACTCAACGACAACCGGTGGCATCGAGTCCGAGCCGAGCGCAACGTCAAGGAGGCGTCGCTTCGATTGGATGAACTTCCTGCCGCCACGCAGCAGGCTCCTGCTGACGGACACTTCCACCTGCAGCTCAACAGCCAGCTGTTCATAGGTGAGGAACAAATACATGATGACAGGGAACATTTGCCTCATTAGTAGCAGTGTTGGTGCCTTTGACGGCTTTTTATCCGGAGCATTTGTCTGATCCTCTGTATCTCTCCCACACTTTGGTATACATACATATACGGTATAATGCTTATCTTCTCATAAAGTATCCTCTTCGTTGTCCAGGGAAACAGTTGAGCTCAGTGTTTTTGTCTCAGCAGCTTGATCACAGAACACTTAGTCCGATTTTTTTTCTTGGTGCCACTAGTTTAACTCTCTGCCTCCTACTTTAGTTCACATTAGACCCCGCTGTATGAAACATTGTACTGTTAGGAGCTGTTTGTATTTTCTTTGGTATAGAACAGTTCATCTGTGTGGGAGTCAATTTAGCCATCTGTGTATTGGAGGATATTTTCCTACAATTATTTATACAGTATATATTATCTGAAGTTACACGGACTGAAAACAGAAGAACTACAACATGAAGTTTTATGGGTGAAGCTCATGTGCCATTTCTATTGTCTGAAGTGCAGAATTACTTCTCTGCTCATTTTGTGGTTGTAGTTTGTATTTTGCTCAACAAACATGCTGTTGAGTGTTGTCAGTGTGGGTAAGTCCCCAGTTGTGACAGATGTTCCTCTTTCCTCCTGCATTTTGCCATCATCTGGCATCTGTCTGTTTGTGACTGATGCGCCAGCAATTCAGGCAGTGGCTCTCCATTCTGTGCATAACAGTGGAGTTATGTTAAGTCGAGTAACAATTAGCAGTGTTTGTCAGGTTCATTGGAGCTCTTACAGTCACAATTTTTATTAGTGAGTTTTGAACAAAGGTAGTTGTGTGCAGAGTGAAGGAAGGAAACATTGGAGAGTGACTGCAAAATGGATTAAAGCTTACAAAACTTTATGGACTGAACACAGGAAACATTTCGATCCTATCAGATCTTCATCATGCAAATGGTCAACATGGCAAAAAGCAAGATATAAGCACACAACTGCTTATTCCTTGGTTACGTCCCAGTTAAGTAATCAAACAAAAAATACAATCATAATTTACAATACAATCCTCCAGAAACATTGTCAGCAACTGAAATACTTTAAAGAAAGTTGCATGAATAAAAAAGATAATACACACAAAGTACATTACTATATATATAAATTTGTTCAAAAGATGCATAGAGGATAACATGACAACAGGAAAACCTCCCCCACAAAGAAATGTAGGGAATTTATAGGTGGGGATTTGGTTTAAACAACTAATGGATTCTTTCTGTTATTTTGTCAAACTCTTGTAGTTGTTTTGTTTTATATTTTATAAAATCACCTTACTAGGTTAAGATTTAATATCACCTGTAAAAACCTACCTAAACAGGCTCTGCTGGACATACTCTAGAGTTTGGTAATTTCAGGTAATCTTACTAACTGAGAAAATAATAACTTGTATTTTTAGCTTATTATTTGTGCAGGTGCTGCTGATTTACAGAGGAGGAAATGTTATAGGTGGAGAAGAGTCCGACTCTTCTGCCTTAGAAATCACTGCTGTTTAACACTTGCCTCTGAATGGTGATACATTTTTGGATGTAGATTAAGTCCTCTGCCTGTACGGCCAAATCTGAGTGAAAAAATAAAGTTGAGAGATCAGTAGCAGCTAGTACAGGATGTGATCCTTGATTGTTCTGTGTTTCCCTTTCAGGATGGGATTAAATCCTCAGAAAAGAGCTACAAATATTCTCCTTTTTTCACAAATGCTAATCCCCTTAACAGGATTGGATATGAAAGTGCTGAGACTGCACATGTACCCTTCAGTATAAACTCCGGATAGACTGAGATCCAAGCCCCAAGACGGTAGCAAGTCTGACCTCCTGAAAAATACTGAAAAAGAGAAAGAAATCCTCTGTCACAAAGCGCTAAACTGCTGTTAGCTAAAAGCTGCTTAGCACTACTGGATATGACATTGCTGAGTCGACAGCTTCTGACCACTGATTACGTTCAATAAATAAACATGCAGCAGGGAGCAGTGATTATACATAGTGTGGGATGTGACTTCTTGCAGCGCGGGTCTTTAAGTAATCTGTAAATGAATCCGTACTCATTAGTGGTCATGTAATTAACACACTGCACACTGAGAACTACCAACTTCATCAATACTGCACCTCTGTTTATCTCAGCTTTATCGGTTCAGCTTCTACATAGACTAATTCTCTCTTTAACCTCTGAGTCTGTGTGTCGAGCTGCAGGTAGAAAAAATAATGAAAATCCATAATTTATTATCAGGTTTTAGCGCTGTGTAAATATGATGTACTGTATGTCACTCAGTAAACACAGTGTGGAGGGAAAACAAACCAACAAACACTGATGAGATCGGACGAGGGCGGTAGCAACAGCAGTAGCAGGGAAATCAAGCTGAATATTGATTGGATGAATGTGTTTATCTGATAATCCGCTCTGAATAGCCAACAGGTCATCACCATCAGCCTGAACCCGTATATGTTTACCTCTACAGCACAGTGTAGTGGAATAAGCCTCATGGATTTATAGATTGGAACTGAAATGTGCTGGTATTTACTCCCATGCTGGTTTGTTGATGGATGTTTGTGGTACAATGCTCTGACTTGATTTGAGAAGATCAGCAACCAAAAGATAGTCACAGGTTTGATCCCTGTAACAAAAGCTGATGCATCCTTCTGCAGCACTAGGTTCTGTCAGAGTCTTTGAGTAAGACAGTAAACCCTGAATACACGAGCTGAGCATCAGGTAATCTGAAAATAAGGCACCGTTTCTTGTGTGATTGGCCAAGAACACAAATAATTAAGAAGCAGCAACAAAGCTGGTTTGGCTTCAATGGACCAATTTGTAATTTAATTGCAAATAAAGCCTCCTAAATGTTTGAATACTATCTTTAAACAAACTCTACAGATCCTTTAGTTACAGTAAGTAATCAGTACAATAGAAGTTTCTGTATTTCAGTGAATTTTCTCTTTTCACTGGTTTGATGTGGGTGCCGCTCAGCTGGAAAAATGTGATGTCGCATACTTTTAAACACAAATCAGCCTTTGTAAATATTTGAATTAAAATCTGATGACAGTTGTGGGGCTGTTTGGATATGATGTCAATCAGTTGATTATGATGAAGCAGATAAGCTGAGCTTTTGAGTTCAAACTTTCTTAACTTTAACTTTGATTGTGGCATATTTAGTGATACATATATAAAGTTATAAAGAGATACATAAGTTTTCAGGGGCTTCAGGTGTAATTACATTACATACTGTCTGAATTGTAAAGTAAACACAAGAAACTTGTGCTACAGAAAATGGACCAGACTCAGTGAATAGCTCCCTAAGCTTAACATCCTAAGTCCTATGATAAGTATTAATTTAGCTATACAGACTAATGAGCAGTGATAACTAACATGTCTTCGGGGTCATCAGGTGGGAACCTCCTTTCACCAGTGTTTCGTCTAGTTGGTCCCACGACACCTCCAGGAGGCTAGACAGTGATCACTGGTGTCCCAGAGTCACTCACCTAATGCCAGCCATCACTGCTCCTCACACCACAACTATTTTCTCCTTTATCTTGCCTATGCTACCACAAACAACATCATCAACTCGGACAAAACACACTAGCAGTTTCAGCAAACAAAAACTCCCCTAAACAGTTCTGTTCTGTTGTGTAGGACTAGAGGGTAAAGTCAAGGAGAGATGCCTTGTTGGGCTAAACTCTCCCGTGCCGGATTAGGCTGTGCTCTACCTCCCCCTACTCCCCCACCCTCCAAGACAGTACAACTCACCATACAACTCACCTAAGACAAACAAACTCACCTAAACAGTCAAAGACACACTACAAACCAATTCAGAACAATACAAACAAACAATACAGGCCAACTCACCTGGACTAACCACATGGTCTCAAAGAGGCTCACACAGGCCACACCCCCCACTTAAAAACACTTCCTCTTCCTGGATTTCTTCCTTGCTTCTCCTAAGAGAAAATATAATCTACAGCTACCTCAAACCAAACTCTGTAACAGTTGAATTTGCAAAGTAATTCTTAACCACAACTTTTAAAGAAAAACATTGGAGTAAAACAAGTAAGTAATTAGTAAAAACATTTCCTCTAAAATGTAGCAAAATGAATTTAACCTTGCTCTAAATAGAAATACCTTTAGCATTCCATGTATTCAGGATCACACTTCCATAGTCAGTAATAATGTTAAATAAAACAAAACAAAATAAAATAAGTAGTAAACAAGAACAGAATTGCACAGTAGAGTCGGACTTGTCCTAGTTTGGGTGATGCTACAAATGTTGTTGATTATTTTCACTTGGTCCTTCCTGAGAGGTAAACATGGCTTTCAAACTCCACTCCCCCAGTTTGTTATTCAAGCTTTCTCTTAAAAACTTGTGTTTTCTAAACCCAAGACAAGTTGCATGGGTCATGTGATTTGATAAACCTCCTTCCAGAGCCACAGAGAGTTTATAGGCTGTGTGGGATTCCTCATGACCAGTAAAATGAACAATATGAGCAAAATTGGTGCTGAAGCAAATGTTTTCATTTCTATGTTTGGGGCTTTCTGTGTGACTGATTACTATGTACAATGTACAGATTTTTCATGAGTACACAATCCACGCCCTGTAGACATACTGTATGTACAACAAAATAATGAGTTATTTGGATTCACAGCTCTCACCACGGGCTTATTTAAATTGAAAAACCTTCTTTACCAAATGTATTGTATTTATAAGTCTTGATTTGCAAGGCAGACTGTTTCATTGTTTGAATTGTGAGCTGCTGTGTTGATTTGTATAAATTCATAAGCTATATATCAACGTACATTGTATTTATGAGTGATAATCCTGCCTTGCTTTATTAGGCAGTGAATTCCACTGTTTTGATTAATAAGTCGTGTTATTGCCTTGCATGAATTCATAATTCACCTCATTGTTCATTTTCCAATTCCTTTATTGCTTTTTGTATTGTAGGTGCTGAAAAATCCATAGGCAGCAATTTTGAGTGAGCATGCGATGAATGCAGAAATTACTTCTGTTGTGGAGGTTTATTATCTATTGTCTTGCCTTGTTTGGATAGTTAAGCCTTTGTATATTTGTGCTGTGTCTCTATCTACCGACTGATGTGCTCACACACACAGAGTTTATTCTTCTTCACTGTCTCTGGTTTAGAGAAAGCACTTGCTTGGATGAGGATTTTCAACACTCCTTTGATCTTTGCTTCACGTATCCCTGGAAATGCAGCAGTATTGATGTTAGAGGATTCTGTTATACATAATGTAAGTGGTATCCTGACAAGTCGTCTGTGTTGACTGATGAGCTTTTGTTTCCTCCTCTTTGCTGTGCCATAAAACACAGTTCAGTTACATAGTTTAAAAAAGAAACTGCTGTGTGGAGGTATATTTTGATTTCAACATCACTAATCCTTCATAATGCACTGGAATAGACAATGAATATTATTAGTTCAAGGTGAACAGGAATTGCTATAGTATCTGTATTGATTGATGCACAGATTCTTCTGCACACTGTCCATACACAACTCAGATTATTGTGTATTGTTTTATCTGCATTATCCGACAATATCTTCTCAGTGCTGAGGCTGCGCTGGCAGTTATCTGATTGAGTTTTGAATTAATTCTGTCAACGTTTGCATTCCAAGTTTGATGTGCACATGAATCAGCTTGATGATCACTTTGATCTCCGTTTGACTAATTGTTTTCTCTTCAGTCCCGTGTGGTCTCAAGTGTGTATTTGTACACAATATGCAGATCTCATGTAGAGAGACTTGAATCATCTTGTTAGAGCTTACAATGTGCTGCTGGATGTGAAGCTGAAATTCTCCTGAAGGTCCCACTGATAGCTCTGCTTCTCTGGTCAGAGGTGGAGTTATCTGCATTTGGATTCTTTGATGTTTTCTTTGATCTCCTTGTCCTAAATTTCTCATTATGCTCTTTTAAGTGTTTCCTGTAAGCAGCGTCTCCATGTGATGCGGGGAGACTGTAATCCTTGTTGGAGCTGAAGTTTTACAGCAGGATAGTCTGGCTGTTTGAAGGGTTTGTTCTCTAACAACTTTTCCCTGCTTCTGTTTTGTAGCTTTGATCAGAGGTGGTGGTCCTCAGGGATGTGTCTCTGGTCCCTGCTAGAATCATCTCTTTCATATATACCCCCATGTTGAAGAACAGTTTCTAGTAGTCATAAAGGTTTCCTGAAGTGAGAGGAGTTATTTTGTACATCCAGGGTTTCAAAAGCAACAGTCCTGTTCATCTTCTACATTGACGAGGTTACATGACTGGCAGTCGCAGCACATCCGAAGCGTGAATGTGAATGAAACACTCTTGGTTGAATTAGTAGAAAATATGAGAAAATTGTCTTAAAAAATATCCAGTTCTTTAAGAAAAAGCCAGAGGTAAAAACCTGTGGACATAAAAAAGACATAACTACGACACTTAAGTTGGACTTTGGTAAGAAACATCCGATCAATGGGCTTAAAATTCTGTTGCATCTGCTGCTAACTGTGATGGCAGGGAAAAGATTACACTCTGTAGAAACCTGATGATCAGTTCACTTTCAGACTCAGGAATTTGGCAACTATGGCATGCTGTTTTGTTGGCAAATGTGACAGCTAATTTAAAGCCCTTTCTTTGAATTAGCAACAGCTCTGACTGGCTTTGTGTCCATAGCAACAGCAGCTGAGACTCATGGGTGTCATAGAGCCATACCAAACTGATGGAAAGAGGAAACATCATTTCTTATTGTCATATTTAAATAATTATAGCACGGGCCATAGCATAAACTTAATTACAGTTAAACAATATAATATAACATAATGTCTTTTAATAATTTTTCTATTTGTAACTCCCAGTTTGCAAATTTTCAATTAATGAATGAAGCTCTACATTTAGTAATGCCAGTGGAGTTGCCAGGAGGTGGTTGGGGTGGATTACAGGCACACAGAGCTCACTACTGTCACACCAGAGAACAGGTTTCACATCCACAGTCCCACCTGTGGTTTAGGCCACAAAAACACTTCAGTTCAGTTTAAAGAGCCCATATTTTACACTTTTTCTGGTGTTATATTTGAAGTTTTGATATCCATAAGAAGATATATTTGGTTTTAAGTTCCAAAAACCATCTCTATGTAGGTTTAAACCTTTTCTCTCAGGCTTCTGTTGTTTCTTCTCTTGCAATGATGTGATGATGATGAAGGAATCTCTGTTGACACCGGCTCAGTTGTATATAAAAAGGTTTATTACAAAAAGGCACAGCATCGTTGAACAAGCATCAAAAACAGCCTGTGAGAGGACCCAAAGCCAAAAAGGATCTTCCTCGTTTATCCCAAACTCATACAATTTATAGGTTGTATGTTCCCTTGATACATCACAGCTAAGTCCTAGTAACCTATAGAAGAGCAGAACCAACATTTATGTCCATACAAGGTCATTCTCTGAGTGCAGATACAGATAACATAAACTTAGCAGGTTATACAAAAGTCAACGTTGAGCAATGCAGGGGAGAGGAGAGCAGAAGAGGTACTCCCCCTCTTCTGGCCCCTGGCCTTCACTCCTATAGTATCCTTCATAGCTTTTCCATCCTGTACTCATCTCTCAGTTAAGATACCACACTTCTTTCTGTGGCTTTACTAACAGGTTGGTGAGCCAATCAGAAGTGAGGCTCTGAGCCTCGCTTTTACTGACACGTTCACTATCAACAACTTTGCGACTTGCCAAATACGCTAATTATTTGCATCTATTAACATTGGGTTAATATAAGATGTAATTCGCTCGCAATTGTTTCCCTAAAAGCATATTTGTATATAAACGTAACAGGGTTGCTTTAAGATATCTTTAAATATCATGTGTCCTTAAATATACAGATGCTGTGGGATGCCACTTATTCAAAGTCGTTATATTTCTGCTTTGTCATGAGCTAGTTGCACATTGAAAAACCCCATCCCAGACTTAGGGTTAAACATGTGCCCCTGATATCTTAAGCACACAAAGCAGAAGGTGGAATGACTGGGTTAAGCTTGCTGTGACTATGACACTGATTAACATACAAAGGCATTTGCATAGGAAGTGCAAACCATGCCCTAATCAAGAAAGGTCACATTATTTGAGTGCACGTGAGGGCGGCCAGTGTGTCAACCCTCTGAATGATTATTTAAAGATTAATTATTCCAAGGAGGACATTTTGTCATCTCTGAGTTATGGCCATTCAGTTTCCTCAGTCTTAACACCTAAATGTTGAACAATGATTTTCAGTAGTTGTGTCCGAGGAATCATTGAGGTAAGTTTCATATCCTGTGTTGCTTTGGTGGTTCAATAATTCATGAGTCAAATCAGAGCAAAGAGAAAAGGCCTTGAGGGGAGTCTAACAGAGCTCAGTGATTCATTGGTGTGAAAAGCTACTGCTGCTGCTGTACAATAGGAAGTTGTCACCTTCAAACCATGAATGGAAAAAGTTGCAGAATTTGTGATCTGAGCACAACAACTATCAGTCTGTTATCTTTGCAGAAAAGAGAGGTTGTCATGTTTGATGCAAGCGAACAGTAGGTGACCATGTAACATCTCAGAGAGAATGTACAATGTTGAGCACAGAGTGAGCTGAAGTTTTGAAGACTGAAATGAGTGTATGCAGTGGGTCCTGTTAGACAGACAGCTGATGAAAGTTATGTCCCCACAACCGTTTTTCACCTTCAGCTTGTTGCTGTTTTCATCGTTTCGTTTCATAAGAAGAGTGTTGTCAGTTTGGAGCTTGTGGGGGAGCAGAGGTGACGTCTGGATGTGCTGTAGATGACAGGAGGAGGAGGAGGAATGAAAAACAACAGAGAAAAAAAACACACAAAGACACAAAAAAAAAAAAAACAGAAGGCCTGGCATGAGCAGGGCAGAGTGCGTGCCATGGTTCCCAAAGGATGTCTCGGTTTTGAGTGAAGTGTTTCGCCAGCTATAGGATGGATTGTCATGAAATTTGGTAGTGATATTTATGGTTCCCCAGAGGATGAATCTCAGGGACTTCACTGATTCCTTGACTTTTCGTGTAGTGCCAGCGGCTGGCCAAAGTTTTCACTTTTATAGTGAAATATCTCAAAATTAACTCATTTGATTGGAACAAATTTTGTTTCAGATATTCATGATACCCACCTTTCATGAAGCACCATCATCAGGTCAAAATTTTAGCTGGACCAATACTTTGGTTTAATACCTGCAAAAGTAATGACCATCAGTGTTCATTGCACTTTGTGCTTACTGCGAATTAACATGTGCTAACTTGTTAAGCATGCTAACATCAGCGTTTAGCTCAAAGCAATGCTTTACCTGCAGTCTCGCAGGTCTGCTAGCATGGCTGTAGACTTAGTCTTGTTTATTAAGAATGGACATTGTGAAAATATCAACATTGATGACACCAATGCCGATGGCGTTAGTCTGTTAACATTAGATGTCTAAAATGTAAATGTAATCCTAATGTCATTCTCTGTTTTGATGTTGACAGGAGGCACAGCGTCCAGGCAGAAGGGCTTTCGGGGCTGTATTCGCTCTCTGCAGCTGAACGGCGTCACCCTGGACCTGGAGGAGAGGGCGAAGATCACGCCCGGGGTTCGACCCGGCTGCCCGGGTCACTGCAGCAGCTACGGCTCGCTCTGCCAGAACCAGGGCCGCTGTGTGGAGAGGGTCAACGGCTTCCACTGTGACTGTGGCCTGTCAGCCTACACCGGAGTCTTCTGCCATACAGGTACACATACAAATACACACACACACTTATAGAGTTGCTTATTTAAACCTTCAGAAGACAAAGAAATCTTATCTTTCACTAGGAGTCATGTTTTTGTCCACCTGATGAATGTAGGTCCAATATTCACACTGGTGTTGGCTCTGTTTTGGTCTCCACCAGCTACTAATAAGAATATCTGGCTCTTCCAGATCCACTTTCTTCATCAGCTAGTCGGTAACTTTGTCTTTCTGTTGTTTGGTGATGGGCAGGTAGTGCACAGTGGCTTTATCAGTGCTTTGATTTTTTTTTCACTGAAAACCGCTGCCTGTTAGAAACGAGTTGATGAGAACACTGTGACTGAACCAGAACTCTAAAGGTGTCACATAACCAAAACAACAAGCTTAAAGAGTTGAGAATTTGTCACTACAAGGATTCCTTGAAATCATAGTCATTTAATTCATCATTAATATAAAAATATATTAGTGGAGCTTTAGTTAATGTCAGATTACCTCTCATTACTGTTACTTCTCTTGAATGAACAACTGCAGCATCATCTACCTCTCCACTGTTGATATATGCTGAAAATACTGGTAACAGTCAAATTATTGCCAAAATATTGTTTAAATACTGATCTTCCCACTCGATCTTTATGCATAACCTTTTTGAGGCTCATATTTATCTTTGTGAATGTTGAAGTGCCTGCTTCTTCGATTTCCATTAGTTAGAACCTTTCTATCCAAAATCACTGACACACAAATGTCCGGCTCGTTTGTTGGGAGTGGTTTACTGATAGGCTTCAAACATGTCTGTCAAACAATTATTACTTAAATAAACCAAATACCAGACTCAAGACAGCCAGTTCTTCTGACCACTGGAAGAGCAAAAGACTCTGACGTTCACAACACAATGAATATGTGAAACTGATCACTTCCAAAATCAAATTCAACAAATGTGAAAGATGAAAGTACAAACTTTGTACAGCCGAGGAGACTTTTTAATGCGTAAACATGGTAAAGTATTTGATATTCAACAGATGGATTTTGAGTGGAGTAAGCTTCAATGGTGCCATCTGCCTTGACCTCCCTCTAGGAGACCTGTCCAACCACTTTACAACATGCTGCACTGTGTCATTTCATGCCTCCGTCCCCTCACCTCTGCTTTACACTTACTGTAGTTAGTTTATATATCTCAGCAGCCAAGGTTACAGCTGTTTTGATTGTGTGTGTCAGCTTGTACTTCCTTTGAGGGGAGAACAAAAGAGTCAGCGCAGGAACATTCCTGACTTCTAATGACTGTTTTACAAAACATAGGCAGTTATAATTTTGAAGCTCATACAGAAATAAAAATGAGTGTGAGTGTGAGTAACAGCAGCCTCCATGTATGGGCTTTTATCTGCTGCTGTTTAAAGTTTAAGGGCTTTTACTGCACTTAACACTCATCATGAAGTACTTAGCTGCCATGTGACATCAAAGGTCTGATGCTGTTTAATGTGTCGGTGTCTATTTTAGTCATTTGTTTGATGTTAACTCTGTGACAATGTGTCATCACATTGATCTTTTAGCCCTCCATGAGTTCAATAACTTAAGTGAGTTCAGCCGTCTCTACTTTTTGAAAAGGACTCTCTTAACCCTCCAACTACCAAATACTGATATCTACTGTACATATTCATCTTCCCTGTCATGTTGATACACACTTTGTCAATTCATTTTGAGTCACATTAACTCCCTCTAACTGTGTTACATATCTTAAAAAGTCATCTCTGTTTCCTGGTGGTAAACTAAAGCAAGAACTCAGCAGTCCTCAAGACTGTTTTCTGTAATTAGAAATGACTAAAACATTTCAACCTGGTGCAGATATTTTGAGAACAGCTTTTTATTCTCTCACTAACTAATGGAAAGTTGTGTGGATGTCACAGCCTCCCTAGGAAGTTAATTAAAGTTTCAAAACTCAAACAATCTAAATATACTGTATGTACATTTAGTGGCAAAATTTAGCATCTTGAGGCATCCAGAAAAAAAGTGTTTCAAAGCAGAGTGTGTCATGTAGAGTAGAAACTCATTCTCTAGTCCTGGTTAATGCTTTAGCCATATGAGAGAAGATTAACCAGTGACATTATTGGAAATTGAAGAATTGTTGAAGCCATTAAAAGATGCTTCTGAAATATGATAATTTTCTTTCTTTTCTCTGTTTCTGGAACAAAATGAATCCCTTTGGGCTCTGCCTTTTGATCAGTATTACTGTCATCAATTTTGAAATTTTGTGGACTAAAGAACTACATGAGTAATGGAAGAAAAACATGATCATATGATTTAGTGTTTTGAAAGATGGCATCAAGGTGACATTTTCATTTTTAAAACAGCATATAAACGGGCTAGGCTTCTCCAGGCTGCACGTAAGCAAACATTTTTGTCTGGGATTGATTTTTTAACACCAATGTTACTTGGACCCACTACAAAAATATTTTGTATAAAGTAATTATACATCAAGTTGTTTGTAATGTATGGAAAATGTCTGATTGCCATTTAATGCTTCAGAATATGTCATCTGTAATCACAGTTAAGATTATGATATCTTTAGAGAGACTGTCATGTAATGTTGCAATTTAACTATTCACTACACACTTAAAACTCTGTTTGTCAGCAAAATAATGAATCTGTAAATCATTTATCTCTTTCCAGAGGTGTCGGCCATCTTTAAGTCAGGGACATCCGTCAGCTACACCTTCAAGGAGCCGTACGAGTTAATCAGGAACAGCAGCGCCCTGCCGTCCTCCATTTACTCTGACATGACGCTGAGAGGAGAGAACGTCTCTCTGAGCTTCAGGACGAACCAGAGTCCGGCTCTGCTGCTCTACGTCACCTCCTACTACAGAGAGTACCTGGCCCTGCTCATCAACAAGCACGGTGAGCAGGACATAGGGCTTTTATTTTGACGGTTGTTTGTTTGGTTGGTGTTCAGACCTGAGGTGGAGTGGCCTGTTTTAAATGTAATTCTTCTTCCTTTTTAATGGCGTCATGAACTCTTGTTTTGTTTTCCCTGGGAGCTTTTTATACATCATTTTAATGCTTCATGTAGAACTTTTGTACTTAAAGTTTCTCCTCCTCTTTATCTAAGTTTCTAAGAAGTTTAGTGCTCATCCCTCCTCCTCCTTTCTTCACCTACTGTACAATTTTCCTCTCATCCTGTTTTTACCCAGTCTTACCTCTAATTACTCCCTTTTGCCTTTTGTTCGCTCCTCTCCTTTTTATCTACTGTTTTCAAATCTCAGATTATGAGTCTCTTGGAGAGTTTCCTTTTCGTCTTTCCTTGTCTTCCTCCCTCAACTTTTTTTAGTGACTTTCCTCTCCTCACATCTCCTCCCAGCCTCTCATCTTACCTCCCCTCCCCTCTCCATCTCATCATCTCTCTCCCATTCCTGTCATCTCCTCATGATATCGACCTCTCCTCCTCCTCCTCTCCCTCTCTCCTTCCTCCTCGTCCTTTGCTCTACAGCTTTACCAGATCTATCAGGATCTGTCAGACCTTTCCTCTCTCTGGATTCACCCCGTCAGCCTCTACTGCCTTTTAATCTGTCCAGCTGGGCCGGCTATTGTGTTTTGTCTCCGGCTGAAAAAAGAAAGTGCTCTCTGGTTTTACCGGTGAGACCTGATGAGTGATGCTGAGGGAATAAAGGTTTGGTGGGATGTTAATGTAGCCGGTCAATGTGCTGCTGAATAAAACAGCAGAAAACTCACTCATGTGTTTTAGAAACTTTTGAGTCAAATAATTATGTTGAGAGTTTGGCTTTTAAGAGTAGTAGGAGGCCCTTTGAATTTTAAATTACATTTTCACCGTCCAGGAGTCTAATAAAACCGGCACTTGCTGCTAGATTAGCTGTAAATGGATTTTTTTTTGGTGTTAATGACTCAAAGCTGAAGGACAGCAGAGCGTTAAGGTTTCGTGGTGACCGTGGACTGGTCAGGTAAATGTTCTTAAACTGAAGCGTCCAATTCAATCCCTGAGAGCTTTCTCTTGTTTCCCCTGAGATGGCGTATTTCTTCTTACCCTTGACTGCAGTTATGCCTCCTCAGCCCAAACAAAACCTTTTTACTCAAGGCTTCTTCTCAAGAGTAAATAAAGAGCAGCAGCAGGTATCTGGAGGTCCTTCTACACATTCTCTGTACCTGTGTAGAAAAACAGTTAGTGAGTTGTAATCACAAGCTTTTTAATTTAGTTATATTTTTATCAGTTTTGGTTTACTTTTAAAATACTTTTTTTTCCCTCTCCTTTCGCTGAACTCTGAAAACATCAGAGGGTTTTTGTTAAATCTGCACTTGAACATTAGGAGAATTATTTAGATTTAATTAGATTAGTTCTGTTATTGATAGGGAATTAGCTCTTATCCCCTTAATATAAAATAAATTCTTAGTTAACAGAGCGACCGCTTCTTTAAAATATTCAGATTTATCTTTGAAGGATTAAAAACGTGTTTATCCTTTTAGCCAAGATTACGAGGCAGAACAAGGCCATTCTCAGGAGGAGAAAACTTTACCTAGAAAGTAGCATGTTTGAAATGATGGTGATGTTTTAAACTGAAATCGTGGTTCTGAATGTTATGTTTTCATCTGAAATGCAACCCCCTGGTTTCATGTGTGTTGTGTGTGTCTCTTGTCTGTGTGTGTTGTGTGTGAAGATGAGCTGGAGGTGCGGTACAAGCTGGACAGCAGCAGAGAAGCTGAAGTGTTGAGGAGCAGAGTGAGGAGTCTGGCCAACGGACAACTTCACACTGTGACCATCAGGAGACTGACGGACTCCGTGTCTGTGCAGGTAACACACACATGACAGTGATTATTTATACTCTTTATAAGTTTATAATGTATATGTCCATCAGTTAAAGTCATTAAGCAGTTTTTTTTTTTACCACTAGGGTTCATAAAAACTCAAAAGAAAATGTGTTAGTATACAAAACAAAATTGTTTTGGCTCATGTGTTTGCAAACATTTATGTGGACATCCAACAGACTTAGAGTATTATTTCTGGCCATCTTACATATGTAAATCCAGCATTCATTCTCCTTTTGGCTTTGGTTTGGTCTCCATGATCCAGCTCAACAAAATATCTGGCTTTGTAGCTGCACTTTCTTCACCAGCCTCCCATTAACTTTGCCTGTCTGCTGTCTGGAACTGGGCAGGAAACATTAGCTCAACTTGTCTTAGGTGATTTGCCAGAAGCAGCCACCTACCAAGAAATGAGAGCTCTGGAAAGCTGCAAAGTCGAGTGTTAGTTCTTAGTGCATCCAGCACTGAAAGTAGCTGCTTCACATTTCACAAGGTCAATTCCTAATAACTATGATATGAAAGATATAACTTAATGCAGATTTCAAGACAGGAAATGTCCAGTCTTACACTACAGAACCACTGTAGGACGGACTACAGAAATGTCTCTGCTTGAGGGCCTTTTGAATAATGTAATCTGTTAGCATGAGAATATTTCAGACACATATTGCTTCCATCTATCTGACTGAATAAATATGCTTCAACTTTAATCAGTACATCTGCCAACAACAGACAAATAATCATGCAACTCACTCACAGTTACTGTGGCCTGATAGCACTTTAGTAACACTTTAATTTAAGATTTATAAGCAGTATATGGACATTTGATAAATGGTTTATAACACACTATAATGTACCTGTTCACAGACATATTTAAATATTAATTAATCCACACTTTCAGAAAACTTCTCCTATGAAGAGATACTTTATATTACAGCTTCGTTTTACTCTGTTATCATTAATAATATGTTTATGCAGCAGCCTCCACGTGTGGGTAGAAGAATAATATTTGTGGACAAATACATCTATAAACATATAGTGTGCGGTAAACCCTGTACTAAATGTTTATATTCTGATTATAAATGCTAAATAGGAGGACTAGTTAAGTGTTACCATATGTTTTTGGGCTTCCCATCTGTTTCATCTGAACTTACACACACAGATTTGTACATTGTGTTGTATGTTGGCCTGCGAGTGTTATAAAGCCACAGCTGCTGCGCTTGTGTTTTGCTCTCTGCTTTCACGCTGCAGCGTGTGTAGACAACATGTAAAGATGCTTAACATGAACTTTTTTTTCCCATGTCGCCAATCTCAAGGGTAAATTCAAGGATGCACATACAGATGCACACACTGGCAGTCCCATCTACCACACTTTGTGTACTGTGTATTGTGATATTCCCCTTTATAATAAAACCTCAGTCAGCATTTTACTTTCAGTTCAGCCACCAGCAGCTGCTGTCCTGGACGCAGCCACAGCAGGTCACCAGGGACAGACTCCACATTAAAACAGCTCCAGATGAAATATGAAGCATCTTAATCGTATCTGGATCTACTGAATCTCTTATCTTGTTAACAGAAGCTTCAGATGATATATGAGGTTAACCTCATCCAACCAGTTTCCAGCAGCCTGAACGTCTGTATAATTATCAACACAATGAGATAAATAACAAGGTGACCTCGTCTTGCATGGGTGCCGCCTCCTGAGTCACTGTTGTTGGGCTCCAGTGAAATATGAGGCGCATCTCATCTTATCATTTTCCATTATACTGAATCATTTTATCTTTAGGAGCATGCTGAGAAGGCATAACATGGCATCTCAACGAAGATGTGAAAGATATCGCAACAAACATTTACAATAGATTTACATAAAAACTGGTCCCCAAAAGATAAATCCTAATGTTTCTGGTGCACATTTATACTCCCCACAGAATGGACTCTTCATGAGCTTTTCTTTGTTCTGTTCTCAGGCCAAATTTCATCTTTACATGGAAGATATCTACTGCTGAGATTTTATGATGCTACACTTAGAGACTGGTATTAGAAAACAAAGTTTGAAGGAAATTAATTCAAGAAATGATTCTCTTCTTTCAGATTAACCAAAATGCCAGAGAGGACTTCAACCTGACATCTGACGGAGAATTCAACGCTATCAAGTCTCTGGCGTTGGGCAGAGTGCACGGTAAGTGAGGAGGAAGTACAGTAAGAGCAGAGACAAGGCCAGAAGTCAAAATATAAGAACTACTTTAGCATGAAGCTGGATCCACCCACATATGGTAGCTCTCTATTATATTTGTATTTAATTTCATAAGAGTTCAGGGTTTAGGATTAAGAGTCTAAAATAAAAGTGATGTACAGGAGGTCATATGGCAGCTGCAGGGACTGAACATAAGCTATTGATGATAAAGAATATCTAATAAGAAGTAGACCAAACAATAACCTACTAAACAAGACAAAAAAGAAATGTCTGGATCAAGTGTGATTTTGTCGTGATTTTCTAAAAGACTATATTCGGCTCAGCTACACTTGTAAGTTCTTGTCTTAATGTGAAACTAATGTAAGTTGTGTTCGTCAATTTTCTTTCTGTCCATATTTGAACTGTAGATCTAAGTGACACAACATAAACTTAACAAATTTAATGCATCTGTTATTTTGTAGTTTCCAAATTGTCCAGTGAGGATTATTAAACAATATGATAACATTATTTTCCTATTTGTATTGAAAGAAAAATTTGGTAATTCCTCATGAGTTAAAATCAGATAACTAATGATAATAGCAAAATCCAGATCCAAATCTGATTAAAATGCTTTCTTACTCCCCCAACTTTGCATATTTTACTTCAAGTAATACTAGACCAATGCTGGTTTCAAGCTAGATGTCCTTGTCCTCGGATGTCCACCTTTCACTTTCTATCATAACCAGGGGAGATAAATAAAGGAGAACAAAATGATAGCCAGCTTTAAGAAGCCTTTGGACAAGTATGAATGTGTTCAGAATCAGAGAATGCAGAGTTAAACCAGGAGGATGCGCTCCTGTAACGCACCTGCACAGATCTGAAGCCTGGAAAGAAAGATCCTCCCCCTCTAAGAAGGTTAAACCACATCTTCATTGAGCTGCTGTTTTAAGTCCTGGACAGGGACGTGTAACAGAGTCGGAGTGAAACAGTAATTGGCTCTGTCATGACTTATTCATGGTCTCTCTGAGCGGATCCATCAGAGACACACTCAGATATAAGCTGTTAATAACATGAGGGGCTGAGAGGCCGCAGGCGGCAGTCACAGCTCTCTGATGAAACCGAGTCACAGCAACACACTGTCAATTTGAAAGGAAGCAACCAGGCTATTAGTCGTAAAACATGAGTCAGATATTTGAAATAGCCTTCACCAGATGCATCCATCAGGTGACACCAAATACTGACCATGAGAAAATGATTAATTTGCACAGATATAGAATATATCTGTAAGTGTTGATTTGTTTTATTCAAGCACCCCTTTACTATAACATATACTGTATATAAACGTGTGCAGTGTAAGAAAACATGCACTAGTGTATGTTAGTGTCATGTGGGATTCTAAATTAAGTTTTCAAAGATTTATTTATTTATTTATTTCTGTTTTAGAAGAATTCAGGAGATTTTCAGTCAGTTCCGAACATGCATGTATTTTAATTTATTCATTTCCTGGGATTTTTGCTCTGCTGGTGCAGGAAAAATGTAATTACTTGCATTTCTGAGCATAAAAATTAAATTTTCATTGGCTGCTTTATTTCCAAAGGTTAGTCTTCGGTTTTGGCCTTTAAATATCAATATGTGAGAAAATCTAGCGTTAGATAGTTTAGTAACAAATACCAATTCTCTGATTATCTTTTGTCTTTTTGGATGTAAATCCTCAGTGAGTAACTCAGTGGGTGTAGCACAGTGTGTTTGAACCCCGGTCCTCATCTCTGTCAAACCAGAGGAGGCAGAGAGTCAGATCAGGATCAGAAAAGCAGCAGGAAAGTGGATTTTCCGTCGTTCCCTGCCAACCCTATCATCCATCAGCCTAACTAATGGACCCGGAAGGAATACAGAGAGACGGAGAGGGGGAGAGAGGTGATGGAGTGAGGGGTGGATCAGCTGAGCGGAGCTTACAGGCTGCAGTAATGTTTCGCTCTCGTCAACATGCAGATGTGTCCCGGTAAAAACCATAGTCACCTCTCAGTCATCTGACAGTGATGCAGCCGGTTTCTGTGGTAATGTTGTTTTTCCACAGCTGCCGTTTACACTGCTGTGAAGGAGTGGAGGTGAATAATGAAGGGATTTAAGTCAATAAAATGAACAGATAGAGGGTGAGAGTGCACATCTGTCTCGTGGAGTGATAGATGGAGACTGGAGGCTGAAATCACTGACAGTCTGTCTACTGTAATGAGGGTGTGTGAGGTTATGTGTGTGTGCTAATGATTAGAATCAATGTACTGCCACTGTTCTCCTACTGTGATAACAGGATGGTGTGCAGCTGAGTCAATGTACCTGTCAGTGTATGACATGATCCATCGGGCCAAATCATTCTAACTATTGAGTGTAGCCTCTAGGTGAAAGGTCAAAAGTTCAGTTACCAATACAGATAAATTCTACTTCATTCTTGAGCGCTGTCTTAGTTATTTAAGGGTTCCAGTTAGCTAACCTGTGCTCTGGAAAGCGTTGCAAATTTCCTCCTGTCAGTGTCTCAAATTATGATGCAGGTCACTGCACTTGCATTCAATAAATTGTCTTACATTTTGAAAAATACGGTTATTCATTATCTTGCCAAACAGATGAGAAGATCAATACCACTCTCATGTCTGTCCAGCAAATAGGATGACAGTGCCAGCAGCCAATTAGCATAGCTTAGCATAAAGACTGGAAACAGGGGGAAACAGCTAGCCAGGCGATGAAATAATCCAGTATGTAACCCCTGTGAAACCACAATGTGTCGACATAACACTTGAACAAACAATATGAGTTAAGAGGCACTAGTAGGCAGATTTTGATACTTTGGACAAAGCCAGACTAGTTTTTAAGCTAAGCTTAGCTAACCAGCTGCTGGCTCTAGCCTCATATTAAGTGTATAGATATCAAAATATTTTGTCTTCTTGTCTCTTCTTGTTTGCATTAGATTATTAAACTTGTTTAAACGTAAAATATTATATAATTTTTTTGCAGCGATACACGTGACAAGAGAGAAGAAAGAAGTCTGACAGGTGGATTACATGGTTGTCTCAAGAGAAACTACACAAGACAAAAACAAAACTTTTTTCTTTTTTTTTAATTCTGTTACTTGATATAAAACTTCCTTCTCATTTTTCTCTCTTCAGATTCTGCAGAGTTGGATCCAGACCTGGCCAGGGTCGCGTCTCTCGGCTTTACCGGCTGTCTGTCCGTGGTCCACTTTAACTCCATCACTCCTCTGAAAGCTGCTCTGCTCCATCCAAACACCAGTCCTGTCGTCATCACTGGATCTTTAGTGCAGTCCAACTGTGGTTCCTCAGCTTCAGCCAATCCCTACACAGCAGAGAACACTCACCACCTGTCAGGTAAGAGGCTGGGCCCCAGTGGCTCCCTTGTTTTCTGTCCCGTTAAAAAACAGCATACAGGATGTCCCAAATTTTTTGCAATTTGCCCTTTAATAAAAGCCATAACACGCTGCTACACCAGAAAGACTTTAGGAAGTCAGGTGATGGTATAAAGAGCGACAAAGTCTGTGCAGGTAGTGGCGTTTGACTCCAGTTTGAAACCAAAGGTTGATTCTTTCTTATTTTTACACTTATTTCGTTAGTATTCCAAAAAAGATCATGGTTTGGCGGGGTACACCCTGGGCAGATCGCCAGTCCATCATGAGTATACTTTCAATATTCATTCCCTTTTTTTGGTCTCCATTAACTCCTGAGAGAAATATGTGGCTCTTTACCTGTTCACCAGCTTGTGTCTAACTGTGTCTGTCAGTTGTTTGGGGAGGAGCAGGTTGTGGACAGTGGGTTTTTAGAGCTTTTTGTTAACAATAAAATTGCAGGCTGGGCAGCTAACAGTGTTCTGACACTCATTCTAAAGATCTACAGATTGACACATAGTTATTATAAAAATATTGATTATAGCCTCTTTAAATAAAGTGAAAACCGGGAGCCGGGGGTCATCATTCCAGCACAGAGTATATATAATCAAGCTGCCATGTGTAGTCTGCTGCAACTTGGATGAGACAAGGTGCTTTCATACAGAATACACACAGGATGGTGAGTGGGACGGGGGTCAATAGGGGATAGTGAATCTTTGCCCCAGGGCCCCCTAAAGTTAATCTGACCATGGCTGTAAAGTTGTTTGAGTAAAAAAGGCTCCATTTTGCATCCCCAAAATGCACTGGAAGGAATTGGCTGGCTGTAAACTCCCTCATATCAACCATAGTACTGTAGTTCACAACCAAGAGGAGTTAAATTCATTCATTATTATTTGACAGCATAACTGATGAGAAAAGATATTCAGGGGATGTTTTTGCTTTCTTATTTTATATGTCACTACTTTTTGTTGTAAATGTTTCTGACCCTTTTTAACATTATGTTTAGGTAAATGTTTAATAGTAGGTTGGCTAACAAAAAGACAACAAAAGACTGAAATTAAATGTTGAACTGTCACCTTGAGAATAATGAGTGCATAGAAATCAGTGTGCATATGTCACATCCTTTTTCTCCCCTCTGTTTCTGTGTGTATATGTTCTTGGTGGGAGTAGCTTTTTCTGTGTAGTGTATAATGGGCTCATTAGGTATGTACACCTTGTTGAGGACACTCATGACAAAGTGCTTGATGAGATAATTAATTTGGACCACGGAGGGGAGTTTTCAGTGGCATTTCTTTCCTAGGACTGTTCTCATCCAGCTTCATGTTGCTGTAATAGAGCTGCTGCTTTAATCCCTGTCTGCTCTGGATGATGATGCTGTGATCATGTCTTTAAATTTCTGTTCTTGTCTCTGACCTGTTTATTTGCTCTTATTTTCTCTTATTCTCTTCTCATATTTCCTCTCTCATGTAATAATTTCTGCATTTCTGTCTTTGTCCACAACTTTCCTCTTCTAATTCTTTGAGCCCTTTGGTTTTTTCTTCTTGCCCCTATTCCCTTCTTTTTTTTTCTACCTTTTTCTTTCTCTGTTGTAGACCAGTCTGGTTCAGTGGGTTCAGGTCAACCTTTAGTCAATGCCATCAGGACTGACTCGGCTCTGATTGGAGGTACTGAACTGTTTCACCATCTCTCACTGTACTGAAACCTGTGTCATCTTGTTTCACTATGTTTGCATTGGACTTCTCTAAGAGTCAGAGATTACACTCAATGTTTAATTGATGACAGATATTCTGTTGAAAGCCAGCAAACGTGATGTGATGAACAAAAAAATTCTATCTGAAGAAAATAAAATGTTTTGCTCCTCTGCCCAGCCAGATTGATTCAGAGTATAGATCGAACGGTTCCTACAGTATAAGAGTGTAGATAGAAAAATAAAAGTCAAATGTCATTTAAAACTGTCCATTAAATCTCCGTGACTTTATGTCTCAGTGCACAAAGCACAGCTGAACTAATTAAACCTCTGCTGAAATGACTTGCTGATGGAGAAACTTTCACACTGTTATCTTCAAATGCGTGGACATTTTAAAACCAAAGTAATATAGTGCAAAATTAATTTCAGCCACATTCTGGAATTCCAATTAGACAAAACTTTCTCTGGATAATGAAATGTGCGGAATAGAGTCCAAATGTGTGAAATTCTGCTCGCTGTATGTTAAAGTTAGATTAGCCTCCGCTAGAACGACCAGGCCGCAGGGCGAAAGAACTGACATGGGAGGGAGAGATGGGCAGAAATCGTATAGCGACTTCACAGTCGCTTCACAAAGCTCTGTGACCAAAGACCACTTTGATAGATGTACTTTACAGAGATTCTGTGTGTCAGTCAGCAAAGCATCAAGACTTTCCAGGATTCAGCAATATGAACAACACACATCAAAATGTCACAGCTGAGCTACAATATGGACAAATGCACAGTTAACCACATTGGTATTTTGCATGTTTTAGCCCCTTTTCCCTTTAGTTTTAAATTGATTAAGTTAGTCAATACATCACAAATAACAACATGTTTGATTTTTATTTTGACAAAGGTAAGTAACTGTTGCATTGTAATGTTCAAAATGATTTGAAAAAATTACCTTACCTTAGTTTAATCTGACAAAAATTAAAGCTGAAAATGGTTGGAAAAAAGTTCTAAAATATTACGCTAAACACTGGGAAGTGGTTCTTTGTTAATTATATGTGAAATGGCATTACCTAAAAAGCCTAAATTTGCATGTTTCATTGATTGTATGTATAACAGCTCTTTTAATTGATGTTTTAATTTAATGTTGTTGTTTTACCTTAAATGTAGTTTATTGGGGGTAAAAACATAGTTATCTTAGCTTAGCACAAATAAAGCAGGAGAAAAAAGCTGGCTTAGCCAAGACTAAAAATAAATCTTCACAATGATCATGTGTACATGTATCAACTAGTAAGTTACCCAGCAATACATCCAAGAGTCCAGTAGTTGATTAAGAGTTAACAAAGTGTGTAAAGCTTACAACTGCGTCCAGCTGCTGCTGTTCAAGAAATAGCATAATTGCCTAAGATAACCGCTACCTTTTTAGCATTACTTCCTATATTTGTGCTAAGCTAGGCTAAACACATCCCAGAGCTACCTTTACTGAGTTCACAGAGATGAAATCGATATCAATATTCTCAGTATGAGAAACCAGACCACAGATACAGTATACTCTCAGTTGCCAGTTTATTAGGTACACCTAGCTAAAACTAATAAAGTCTAATACAATAGTCCTTCAGTTAATCAACCTAATGAAGGTTATTATGTTCAGTTTTTGTTGAAACTGTTTTAGAGTGGTGTTGATTATACTGTATGGTGGTGCTATTGAGTTGTATTGCATTAGTTGTTTCTACTATTGTGCAGGCTAAATAACAGACAAACATCTCTCTGAACAAAAATGTCTCAATATGCCAGAGTAAATGTCCTCTAACCCTGCAGGTGTGATAGCGGTGGTGATCTTTGTGGTTGTGACTGTCCTGGCGATAACTGCCAGATTCCTCTACCGGAGAAAAGAGACGTATAGAAATCAGGAAGTGAAGGGAGTCAAACAGGACGACAGCCAAGATTTTCCTTTCAACAACCAAACGACTGACTCCCAGGACGTCTCCAGTGAAAGCCGAAAGGAGTATTTCATTTAACTAAAGGCCTGGTGACCTGGTGAACTGGAGGACTTTTTGGAGCTGAGGGTGCAGACCGGGCGTGTCCAGGCACGCCTCAGGACTTCACACTGCACTCAGAGACACTTGAGACTTCACTGGTAGAAGTGGCTCTACAAAATGTGGAAGACAAAAAAAAGAACAATACACACAGTGTTGTCTTTTACTGTATGTATATACTGAAACAGTACTGGACTGAATATCCTTTCAGGAATTGTATATATAAAAAAAAAAATGTAAATGTTGGAATAATGTCTACAGTAATCTCTAGCTAATGTCACTCTGTCATACTGAAAGGGTAGAAGTACTCTGAAGGGAACTGATTTTGTTTTATGGATTCATTTACAGTGTTCAAAAACAGTTTTATTTCTTTATTGTGGTGAATCAGGGGACTTGGAATCATGACTGGAGTCATTTGGCTGATGCACATTTCTGTGAGGAAGAATGGATGTTTATGTAATTGGAAGTGGAAATGTTTGACCCTTAATTAGGCCCTCAGGAAAAGTACTTCAGTAAGAGCTGGTGTTTGGTGGTTCACTCGTGTGTGATGCCTTTCTGTTGTGCGCAGTGCTGTGGCGGGCATAACAGTATGTACTCGTTAGAGGCTGTACAGCCTTGAAAATCTGCTTAAGGGAAACCTGTGTGCGCTTGTACACTTGGAAAATTTACAAGTATTGTCAGAGTCCCTGCAGCCGACATACGCCTACCAAATGCCAGGATGTCTTTTTGATGATTTTCCAGCTCCAGTCAGCACATGAATTAAATATGTTCATGAGTGAATTACTTCCAGCAACATTGTGCTACCACAGAATTTTCGTGTTAGCAAGTGGCGTCTTCAAAGTCAACACAGTCTTACTCACTCCAGTCATGCACATCGCCATGAGCACATTGTGCATTTGTGCTGAAATGGTACACTGCAGTCTGGCAGCCACTGGTTGAGAGACTTAGAGACTTTTATACAGAAGGGATTGATTTTCTACTTCATTTCCATTTTTATTCTTTTTTTCTCATTCCTCTAACTGCAGCTCTTTCTTTCCTCTCATGACGTCTTCCCATTGTAACATGAAAGCACAACAAAAACAGGTAACAAAACTACATCCGTGAGAATTGAACTTTTTTTTTTAGTTTCCAATAGTTTGCGCGCTTTTCAGAAGCAGCTTGTTCACTTTAATATAAACGTTTTGTCCTCCCTGCTGCATGCCGCCTGCTGGGAGCTTCCTCCCCCAGCTCTCTGAACAGTGAAGCTTTTAACAGCGACAGCAGCGCAGGCTCTGTAACACTGTGGCTGTCTGTCACCTCGTTCACTGCACGCAGAGACAGTTAATGTGTTTTTGAAATGCTGCTTCGGTCTGACAGGTGGATTGTAACGCGATGGAAAGCAGTAAGATGATCAGAATGAGACCGCGAGATAATCCAAGAGACAGAGTGTCAGGCAGACATGGATGTAATGAAAACACATTCTGATATTAACACTGAAAATGAAGCAAATCCCTCCGTGTGATAATTCAGCTCATGTGTAAAGAGTGCTGCTGATGTAGGGAAGCCAAGAAGCAGAAAGAGCATCGACAGCAGCTGTTTATCAAACATACACCACCGTCTCTCTGCGAGACCCCAAAGCACAGATGGGATTTTAATGACAAAAGTTGCTAAAACTTCAAAGTGCATTATTCATCACTTTGTCTTTTCTTCTTTTTCCCCTCACCTCACAACAGCTGAGGCCACACATCCACATCCTTGATTCAAAAGACTTTATTCTCTGAAGAAGCAGTAGTGACTGTCCTCCAGCCTGCAGCAGAACTCACTACAGTGCAACACTTGATTGCAGAGAGGAACTCAAATGGTAATCTTGACAGCCGGATAATCTTTGCAGATTGAGCACAGCTGGAGGACACTGCATAAAAATATAGCAAAATAAAGATCCAGAGAAGAACATTTTAATTTTTCAGAGTGTCCATATAACATTAGCAGCAAGTCAATGATGTAAACAGTGATGTGTGCAAAGCAGCAAGGAAACATGTTTGACCTTAAACCTTGGTCTAGTGTCACTGTGAACAACTTTTTTGTTTTGTCAAACCACTTTCATCAACAGAACAAAAACTTTACAACAGTTCTACATTTGAACCCGCTTTATTCGCACCTGTAACCTGAACATTTTGGTTAATTTTGCATTTAAAGGATAAAGGCCTAGTCACACCAGAGAGTAACACAATAAAATGAATCCACATGTTTAAAGGCTCAGTGACATAGCAACTACTGGCAGGGTTAGTTTGTAAACTGCTCTCGAGCTAACATGCTAGCCAGCCGGGACATGTTAGCATTAGTCAGTCACAATAAGTTTCAGAGCTTCTTTCTATTTTTTAGGCACTGTGCTGTTTACTTCCCCTGGCATTTTGTTCTCAGTAACATCAATCATTTCATTCAATAAAGAGAAAAAAAGCTAATAAACTTTCTAATTACTTGCTAACTGTCAGCTAGCAAGCTTGTTAGCCACTAATGGGGCAGCAAGTTCACCCAGTTAATTCAAAAGAGGTATCAGTACTATCCACTCCCACTGTCTGCAAACTATTCCTCCTTTTTGGAGCAGCTTCTAATCTGTCAAAGGAGTTTAAATAAATCTCAAGGGTGTAATGCGGCTAATATGCTACAACAGCTTTCCCCATTTTGTCAGCACTGTCAAGATGGCATGTTATTGCTTAACAACACAAATTTGCGCTTCACCTTGCTCCCATGACTGACTCCATTAACCCTGGCAGTTTTTATTCATTTTTATTAAACATTAATTGATAACCTTAGCCATTTTGAATGCTGGTGTGACTAGGCCTTACGCTATTCTGAAATTTGCTTATTGTCATCAAATTCCATGAAAAAGACTAAAACAATAAATGGCTCTCACTAACAATATTATCTGTGTGGCCAAAACAATTCTTCATTAATATGAACACAGTCACACTGCAGTTTAATTTGAGTCAATTCCACATACACCGTCCTGCTGCAAGAAATACTATAGCACCAATTATGTATTAATCCAAAAATTAAAAATGGCCCCCTACAAATGCATTATTTCCTCCTTTTTAAGTAACTTTTGCAAAAAAACTACACTGCCCAGATGTTGGAATTACCGAGTTTTTTTATTCAATTAAACTATATATATGTGACCTGCTTTTAATATCTTTAAATATATCTTCAGTAGGAACCAGTAGGTTTAGGACCGAAGCTACAGAAAAGGTTACCTTGGAGATAACTGATTAATACATTATTGAATTTGGTCTTTTCATGGGATTTGTTTTGACAATGAGAAAAATGTTGAATAACTTCAGCTTTATCCTTTTAGGAGTGAATATTTTTGACTGACAATGTTCTAGTTTCTCTCTGACAATGCACTGGTTTAAAGTCGAAGTGTTGTCACTGTAACTGTAGTGTTGGTAAATAACAGTGATGTTGTGAGTGTGAGTGACTTGCCATAGAAATATACAGATTCTACTCATATTCTGGTTGTTTGATTATCGACAAAATCCTGTTGAATCCTGTAAGAAAATAAATAATCATAATTTTTTTAAAGATCCTGTTTTTCATTTTAGCTGGGGGGTTGATTCTTCTTTAAAGATGAATCACCAACTGGGTAATAGTTAAGAGGAGACTTCTTTCAGTTTGTTCTTACATTTGCATGACTGAAGGACTCTGCAGAAAGATGACAGATCTCCACAACAAAATAAAATAAAATTAACATTTGTTGAAGTAGGATGCTTAAAAAGAAATTAAAATTAAACCACTCATTTGTTTCTTTGTTTACAGTAACTGAAGCTGACACATAGCAAAGACTCCCCCTCAATGACCAGAACAATTTACATATATTTACATCTTTTATATTTGATACTTCAAACCGCAGTGTGGGAGGATACACATCCTTCACTACTGGCAGTTCTGGTGGCTATTAACATTCTGCAGATCAGACATGAGGGAAATATGTAGAGTTGTGAAGCATCCAGGAGCAGATGATGTCGAAGTGATTCTCTGCGAAGTCCCATTTAGCCCTTCTGCCTGTTTAAACATTCAGACGCCTGAGGTTACAAGATGATTCAGCTGCCTCAGATCAGTGATCCCCGTTTGATTCATTTAAGTCTCAGCTTATTGGTTGTGATCAGAGACAAGATGCGGAGCTCTCTGATGATCTTTAGCATCATCACTGATATCAAAGGCTCAGTGAAGGAAACGCCAACATCATAAGGATCAGCTAATCTCTTTGGCCAACTAGAATTTGAATGTGATAAAAGTTCAGTGTACAGTCAATATGTATATTTGGAATGATAAATACCACTGCAACATTTCTCCCACTCTGCTGTCTTATTTAACATTTGACAAACCTTTGATGTACTGAATCACCATACTTGATCTGTGATGGCATTAATATGGCTCATGGGATTATACTCTATGTAGCTCAGCTTTCTACTCCTTTGGTTGTTTATTACTGAGTCACATGTGTAAAGTGATGGAACCCCAAAGGGTTCAATATTAAATAAATAAAGACGTTATGAAACGAGCAAACATTTGAGTAAATGTGGGATATATATGAAACAGTCATCATTATCATAAGTTATTCCATTGTTCTTATTGTAATAGTAAGTTTTGTTTCATTGGATATCTTATTTCATAATGGCATTTTTCTCAATGACACGTTTATTTTATGTTAAGTTTTATTTCATACCGTTAATTTTCATGACTGTAATGTAGTCAGGGCTTTTTCACCAGTATGTTTTAGTAATTTCTTGAATCATATGTTCTATATTTATTCATGTGATTATTTTAGTTCATAATTAAGCCTATTATTTATTTAATATTGAACACTTATAAAAGAAACTGTGCTACAGATTTTTAATTTTATATCTGTAGACTTACTCATTACGTGATTTTTATTGCAGAAACAAGTTATCTCTCAAAACGGTAGTAGGTTAAATTTAAATTCTGAAACAAACTCGGTTATCCACCGGGCCGATTAGGCCTCCGAGCTCTGGGGGCGACCTCCATCAGCTGTGGCCTCGTCCTGGCCGCCCTGGCTTTGCTTTTTTTTTCTTTTTCTTTTTATTTAATCAAATCATGAATCAAATGTAATTAATTAATTGAGTGTGCGTGTGTTGAAATATGAACAAATTAATGTAAAATTACTTATTTGCGAATAAGAAGAATATTGAGATTTGTTGGCTGGCTGATAATCATGATGAGGAGTCAGGTCAGCTGCGGCCAGCTCAGGTGATGAAAGGGTGAACATGGCCGCGAACATGACGGCTGCGGAAGAAAGACGCTTCTTGAAACGTGTTGGTTAGAAAATAACCACTGGAGCGGGAGTGAAGCAAAGAGAAAGGCGGTAAAACAAAGGGCTCTCAGAGAAACTGAAATTACGGATAAACACACCATTTATCTCGACTTTTTTTTTTAAAGTCGGCTCGCTAGCATTAGCAAAGAGACTGGGCGATGCTAAAGTAGAAGAGGACAGTAACGGCTGACGGTCGTTAGTTCAGCCGAGATCACCGTGAAACAGGCGGAGAACCACAGCCCTGCGCCACGCACCTGTTCAACTGCCCCACCCTCATCTTACCACCACTTGGTAGGTTACCAGTGTAACAGCCCCACAATTTATCACTTTTTTTCCCATTTTCCCCATATATCGATGATTGAAAATGAACTGAGAACAAGGACGAGTCAACAAAGCTTAAATTACCGGCAACAGAGTCTGAATTCCTCAGTCCTGGACTTTAATGATGTGGTGGAGGAGTTTTCAATGAGAGGCCCGAGAGAAGACCGAGGTAGGCTTTCATTTTACACCTATGTGTATATTCTTGTCTCCAAGGTGTTGTGTTTATACAATGAGCAATAGTTGACATTGCCTTTGTTTTGACATTTGGCTATTGTACCATTGCCTCTTCATGCCAGGATGTCTGAAATGGTGGAAATCCTGTTTGATCAGCTTATAGATCTACCTACACAGAGCAGTACGGATCGATCACTGTGTGTGTGTGTGTGTGTGTGTGTGTGTGTGTGTGTGTGAGAGTGTGTGAGAGAGAGAGAGAGAGAGAATCTGAGTCATATAACTGTATTGGTGGAGGTGGGACAGTATGCGCTTGTGTATGCCATTCATCTACACACTGTAGGCTAATGTGTTGATATTGTTGCTGCTGGCCCAGGAAAGTATTGTTGCAATCATGTGGTGTAAATCCTGTATGAGAGAATAAATCTACAGGTGTTGATATTGTCCTTCAGGGTGCGATCATAGGCTATCAGTGTAAATCCTGTATAAGATACAGGTGTTTTCAACAGATAGTAGCCTCTGCTGAGAACCTGTAATTCAAAACCTGGATTGGGTGTGTGTGGAGAGTAGTTTGGGGGGCGGAAGGGTGTCCTATATTTTGGACCCAGTGGTGTCTGCATTCTTAATCCGGGCCTTGGTTAGAGCTATGCCAGCAGCTCTGTGAGGCTGTGCTTGAGCTAAGTACTAATGCGAGCATGCAGTGACAATGCTAACATGTTGATGTTAAGCAGGTGTTACCACCCAGCTTAACCAGTTTAGGGAAAAGGGGAAGCAACATGAAACCAGGTGTTTTTTGTAAAGCAAATTTATTGCGTAACCAGGAGGGTAAATAAGTAAACAAAACTACAAACAAGGTGAGAGGATAAGTAAAAAAGGGGAACAGGGCAAAACGGATGCTGCTTAACTCAAAAATAAAATATAACCAAAAGAGGACTCTACCTTATAGGGAGTTGCAAAACTCAGTTCTCAACGTTAAAATGAAATGAACCAAAAGAGCCTATCTATGCTGAGAACAGGAAGCAGCACTCCTCTTCCTAATGGATCTAACAGTTTTGTTTTAAGTGTAAAATGCACAATCAGTACTCTAAACCCTAGCCCAGTCCCCAACAATCAATACTCGTATCTCAGACAAAAATCACAGCGTACACAAAAAGTTCACACTCACAAGGGGTACAGAGGTGAGCTGCCTATCTGAGTCAACCGCCATAAGTGAATTCTGGGCTTTTAAACTATTCTTTCTCTGAATGCCAGAATAGCTACAGCTGCTGTGTGCATTAGCAGGATTATTGCCTCACCAATAGTGAAAGCCGGCCTCGAGACTCCTCCCCTCTGCTCCAACCAATCAGACTGATTAGCATACTCAATAATTAACACATTGCAGCGCATGTGTTGCCAAATTGATGAAGATGTTTCTGTGTGTCTTAGCATGTGTTTTCTTAAAATGCAGTGCGTTGAGCCCTCGGGGCCACTGTAGGATCAGCACAGACACTGCAATTCATCCTGAGAGGTACAAGACTGTCTGTGCAAAATTTGATGGCAGTCCATCTGGTAGTTATTAAGAAATTTTACTCAAAATAACAAATGTCAGCCTCATGGTGGCAACAGAGGAAACTAAGAGGTTCACCAAAGTCAGTAGATACCATTGATATCAATATAGATTTTGTGCCAATCAGTTGAGATATTTTGCAAGATAGGTGATAGTCACTGGAAAGTCAAAGAATTTTGTGGCAGTCCACTGGACTGACTGACACAATGAGATTGCCATGTGAATCAGTTTGCCACAGGCTGAGACTGATCAGGTTCATGTAGAGTTAGTAACATTTTTCCTTTTCAGTAAGGCCGGACATTTCTCATTGTGTCACAAGAAGATGCAATAGAATATATTTGTGTGTAGAATGAATACACAGTAATGCCATCTTGTTTTACAACCGTTGTACAAAAGATGATGGATTGAACAGATGCAAAAAGATGTTTCACCTCGAGCCTGATGGCAGATACAGAGTCATACATGCGTGTAGATGAATAATTCAAGCTTTACTGGAGTCTGTTTGCTTTGCTTTGCTTTTCTTCTCTTTGTTTTGTAGCTCTACTGACTGAATGGGACAGGTCAGCTTGATCTATAGGTCAGAGAAAGCAATAAAACTTGATGTTCACCAAAATCCAACATCATTCATGCTCCTGTTTTCTCCTTCGGTTGACATGTTGACTATTTTGTTGACTTAAATCCCTCGATTATCCACCTCCACCATGTAAACAGCAGCTTTAAAAACTGTAATTACAGCTGTATCCAGCTGTATTAGTGGCTGTTCAGATGACGGAGGGGTGTGTGTGATTTCAGCGGGGCAGAGCTGCATGCTGATGAGGGCAGCTGGAGCAGGCAGTGTGGTTTTGATGATTGATTTTGATCTATTTATTGAGTAATAATGTTTTGATCTTTACCCCAAACTGTCTCCTTATGATCCTCAGATAAAAAATTGAAAGATTCTGATTTATGTTGTTTCTCACATCAGCAGATAACATACACATAATAAACATATGAGGGCTGATAATGGTAAGAAATAGAAATAAATAAATGATGAGAAAACAAAGTTTGCTATACCAAGATCAATCATGATTACAAGACGACAAAAAATAAAATTGACAACCCTTATGGTCAGATGAGGCATTTTAGTCTCCACAGTCCTGACACACATCTGTCAACTGGTCTGGTCTTTGGTCTGCT